GCGTGCGTGCGTGCGTGCGTGCATACATACATACATACATACATACATACTTGCATACGTGCGTATGTGACAGCAGGAAATGACTGCCACTTGTCGCATGGTGGCCGAGACAGACCGAACACCACTAGCGCAAGACTGCGTGTGCAGCTGCGTGCCCCGCTTTCCCAGGCATCGCCGGCTCAAAGGTCACCTCCCTCCGAAGGTTACGAGGGCAGGCCGAGCGAGCGGTCGTGAGATGGGACTCCGCCAGACACCGCAATGCAGGCCAAGTGGAGCCGGTGCTTGGTCTGACGGCTTTGGTCCGGAGGCAACTGGTTCAACTGACACCTTAGCAAAGAATCACCAAAGCCAAGATCATAGACTCCGCAAATCGCTGCGCAGCCCTCCGCGACCGGGGAGCTCATCACAACGCCGCGCGACAGCGACGATGCCGCGCGTCGCAGGCCGCTGTTTCCTGTCCGAGGGCCAGTTTTTGCAACAGGGAGTTCTTGTGAGAAGGGATGTAGAACGGATCTTAGGCAAATTAAGTCCTGTAGTCCTATATCCTGCCGGACAACCGGTTTGCGCTGGCTTTTTAGCTTGGAAGCTTTGTCTCATGGAGATGATTCTTCCTGTTCTTGCCTTGAAGGACCTTTCCCACTGGAGGCGGGGCTGCTCGGCAATTTTCTCATGCATTTTTTCTTTGAGATTTGACAGTGTGCGGTTTGCAGTCCAGAGCGCGCTCGATGAAGGCAACAGTCTGAACGAACAAGTGCAAGCATACTCCGGGAAATGATTTGGCCAACTCCTGACACGTACGGCGGGAAACCATACCACTACTGGCACTCAGCAACGGGGAATCAACAAGTTTCCTTCTTGGCGCATGTTGCAGCTCCGGCTCAGTTGCGAAGAATTTCTCAAGATGCATAGCAAGCAAGACTAGTGTGAACAGTGGCCATGCCTCAACAGCTCCAAAGACTTGAGCTTTGCGTTAAACCATACAGCCCGAGCTTGGCGCCATGGCAATTTGTCGAGAGGTTGTGCCACTTAGCTGAAAGCGCCAGACCGAAGAGTCAGGACTTGTCTTCACCTCAAGCGTGTTGCTGCTAGTAGGGGCTTTCTGAAACCCCTCCAATCACAAGCCTGCAGAAGTCCAGCAGGGGGCACTGGGGGTCTCGCTGATCAGTGACAGGTCGCTGCTCTACTGGGCCATGCTGGCTGCTTGCACCGTCGGCCCCGGTACAGCGGCCCTGCTGAACTTCAGTCCAAGGCTGCGCAGAATCTCACATATTCGGCATGAGTGCAGGTGGTGACTTGCGCACGGGCGGGGGCCGAGTATCAGCAACTGGGTGGCAGATAGAAGCGAAGCTGGTCTTTTCAGTCAAAGAGCAGCTAACATAGCACAGCCGGCATCGAAAACACCAACTCCTCACACGGGAGTTTCGACAGCAGAGTCGATGGTTGTCGCAAGCTTCCCTTGCCCATCCGACAGCGATGCGCAGGGAGCCCGATCCGTGGAAGGATGGTTCAAAACCAATCATGCTCTTGCTGTCAGGCTTGGGCAGGCTTGGTACAGCAAACATAAACAGGCATGATGTGATCGACGACTGTTGGCTAAAGGAGTCGTGCCTTCAGAGACTTTTCACCCCCCCCCAATGGTTGGGGGGTCGGCAACAAGCTGCAGGGTGATGCTAGTGCAGTGATACCGGATTCTGCAAGAGCGCTCAGACAGGAGCAAGGGGTAAGTCACGTTCCTGATGCCGACATGTCCGTGCTCTGAAAGCAGCAAACTGATGCCTGCAGAGTTCTGACACGACGTTGTCATAGCCGTTGACATGTTTATGATTCCGGTAAACGAGGCTGCACTTCGTCTGGGCCCTGCTTTTCGCTTCCTTCCTCGCCTTCACACTCCAGGACGGCGGTTCGCGCCAGGGATTTGAGTGTTTCCAACCAAGAACTGTGAAATCCTACATGTTTGGACACATCTAGTAATCTGGGACTTCTTGTGGTCACGGGAACTCGCGCTTAGTTGTTTTATTGTGCGAACTCTGACGCAGCAAAATTGTACAGTACCTTGATGTAGATCCGGAAGCTTTTCGTGTTGTAGAACAAGTGACCGCAGAAGGCCACTGCCCACAGCCACAGCTCAAGGAGGGCTCTGCGCGGCTTACGATCGTCTCAGGCAAAACGCTGGGGCAATGCCTTCAGGCCAGATCTGTACTCGTCGCCCCAGTCCTGTAGGCAGAGAGAGGTGACGCGAGCTTTTGTGCTAGCAGAGACGGCCGGCACCGAGCCTGAGCTCAGGAAAAGTACGGGCAGGTGCTCCCGAAGCTCGGCCTTAGTGGCGGCCCGTCTGCACAGCTCACTGGTGGCAGACACCATGTCACAGTGTTGGCAACTTCAGGTCCAGTGCCCAGGTTTTGTGGAGCGTTGGCACTGGCCGTGCACTTCGGCGAAACACTGCTGCCGGTGTGCAGTCTTCAGAGGCGGACTGCCTTGTGAAACTCAGGTACTTCGGCAACTTGTTGTACGAGTGCAACAACTTCGCGGGTGGCATCGACGCCCTCTTCTCCTTCCCAGGTCTTCCGAAAGCAGAAGTTTGCGAGCGCGTAGCGCCAAGAGTCCTTGTGTCACTGCCGCCTCATCGAGCAAGATGTTCTGTGGTTCAATATTTTCCAAAACAGTAACTCGACGTTTGACAATTCTTGCAGGAGTGAAGCAGATTCCTTCCGAACTGCTGCGCATCGGGGGCTGCTTCGCATATGCTGTTGCTGCGCCTCTTCTGCCCACCGTTTTGGGGGGCTTTACTTGCACCGAGTTGGGTTCTAGTGTCCTCTTTGTCCTGGATTCCAAAGCTGATGACCACCTAGGTGCTGGGTATCTTGTACCTCGACAAAGCAGATGCGGTCGGAGTCGGGCTGGGCATTACGATGATGGCCGGGGTCCAAACATGAGCTTTGCATGGGTGATCTCAGAAGGATTTGTCTTCGAGGCCGTGCATGCTGAGTACTCTTGATTCAGTATGATACGACATTCCAGAGTCCGTTGATTGACTGAGACGGCCCCTGACAATCACGTGATGCTCACACCGCAAGGGCATGGTGGCACTGTTCCTGGTGGTGGCAGTCACTGTGGGCTGCTCGTGGTGCCTGAGCACAAGCTACTCAAAACTAACTTTTCGTGGTATAACTTCGCACCTTGGCGTCAGTGGCTTGGCTTCTTGTCTTTGCCAGTCTTACTAAGGCGCGCCCTTTTACTCGGTTCTCTTCCATCGCTCCCGCACCGATCGCCCCTACACGATGCTGCGGCGCCGTGCGACACGGCACTGAGCGCCTCGACGGCAGGAGAGCAGGGCTTCGTCATTTTGAAGCGGTTCAAGTCTACCCAAGAATGCGGCCAGACTCGCAACATACAAAGGTTTGGTGGGCACCACTGCAATAGGCATGAACGCCACTCGGCTTAGGGTTAAGCACTTAGGGCTTGGAGTTTAGGAGTTGGGGTTGAGGAGTGTTTTGGGCTAAGGTCTTCCTTAGCGGCGCCATGGCACGGCAGAAGACGCTGGTGGAGTGCCGGCGCGGTATTGCGCCTCTGACAGCAGTCGTTCTTGACTTGCGGTTTCTGGAAGCAGCGAATTCGAAGATCGACCTGGCAGCGTAGGCATTCTCGTGTTTATCAGCTCTGGTCGTTTCCGTCCTGCACCTCATCTGCATTTGCAGGGCTACCGACCTGAATTTGTCGGAGCGCAAGCAGCACTGGCCAGTAGCTCCTGCTAAGGATCCTGATCGTTGCTGCAAGCGTGTTCAAAGCGGAGGGTCGAGCTACTGGCGCTGCGGTTGCAGAAAGGTGCACTCGTATTTCCTGCTTATCGACATTGCCGGTATCTTGTGAGCCTTCGGTCTTTCGAAGGAGCTGCCAGCACACTAGTCCTACTTCTTGCACCGGTAGCAGTCCTTGTTTGTCACAGGTGGAACTTGTGTTCGTTTTTTTAGCTATGTCAGCAAATGACCTCGCGAAGAATGGATTCAGTAGCCAAGTAGCAGACATCACATCGGCTGAGCCACCCCACAGCAAGCAAGGACCCACGCAAACAGGTAACAGTTCGTATCACAAATCACCAGCAGCCATGCTCTCTGTCAGCGTCTAGACGCAACAGAGAGAACAGTATTGTGCGGTTGGAAATCATGTCTCTTCTGTCAACATGTTGCCGAACATCGGGTGTGAATGCGAGGGACAATGGGATTCCCACTTCCTTGTATTTCTGTTATGGTCCTATCGCGGACAATCCTTGTCTGAATTTTCTATGTCTAATACTGTATCCATTTCCGTTGTTGTTTGCCCTAACGGCTGTGCTGAATGCCATGCTGCGCTTGGCTTAAACGGCAACTAAACTCACATCATGACGCTCGCACTCGAACATGCCATGGAGGGAAGCCGAAGCCTCTGTGGAGAAGCTGCGGCCAAAGGTCGGTTCAACATGGAGTTCAACATCGTCGATCTGGCTAAATCCATCAACGGATATTTTGGAGCAGCAGGACCGACTGACTGTGTTAGGATCCGGAGCCCACTTTTGGAGCGAAGTTGCACCCTGTCCAGGCACGACGCTATTTGCCCTTGGTTTCGTGTCCGCGGCTCTAAGTTCGATGCTGACGGCAGCCCGTCACGGTTTGAGCTTCGACGGGCTTTGCTTCTCCCGAAAGTCCGGGGGCGAGGGGCGGCTCAGGTCGTCATCGGAGCTGCGCTGGCCTTCGAGGGGCTCCTCCTGCAGCCGCTTCGGGAGCGAGAGCCTGTAAGCGAGTTGGAGTGCAAGGGAGAAATTTGGATTTTGTGTTGCGAGGATGCCGAGGGGAAGTTGGTGGAACCTCGCTTATCTCAGAGAAGCTATTGGTGGATTGCAGCTCGGCATCTGGCCAAGGCTTGCCAAAGGTCCCGTCAACCCTCAACCTACTGGTTCTGCTTGTCTCCGTCTGCAAGAAGTGATGAAACCGGGCCTGTGTGCTGAGGCCTTCAGCAATGTTTCCGTGGCTGTTTTCACCATCTTGGTGAACCTTCCTCGGCCCACCATCATCCTGGTGGCGCAGTTGCTGCTTGCTTGTTTAGACTGAGACGACAACTGATGAGTGGCACCGCGCCTGACCACACGGCTGAGATTCAATGGAATTCTGCTGCCCTTCTACTGTGTCTCTTTGCTGCTCTGCCTCACGGACAAGAGGTTCATGGGTGACGCCCCGCAGAGCCCATGGCCTCGACAAGGGCATAGCGCTGCAGCAATGCAATGGATTAAGCTTGGATCTGCCTCTGAGGCATCTTTGCCAACGTGTGTCTCTACACATCAGTGACAGCGTGATGGCAGCGATGCAGAGGAGCAGGGCTGTGAAGTGGAGTTGCGGGTGTCGGGGTGTGAATCACCAGAGCTGTCTCAGAGCGGGGATCGAGCGATGCAATGCGCTTGACGGGTGTCGGGATTTGAGCCAGGTTCTGGGCGTTGCTAGGTTCCGGTTGGGCCGCATCTCGTGAGAGAACATGACAGAAGTGAGCTCTACTGCTGGGCTCTGAGGTAGCCTTCATCCTGGCCTGGCGAGTTGTGGTCCAGAAGTCAACACTGCTGCTCTTCCTGGCCACAGGCCTCCAAATCTCCGAAAGTCCACGTATGAGGGTAGGATCCCAGCGCTTCCGTGCTTCGTCGCGCAGCCAGGTGTTCGATTGCTAGACACGGCTACGTCGGTGCTCCTCGTGGCCACGTGCCTGGCAGTGCTGTCTATGTGACCTGGCGCATGCTGAAATGCCTAGGCCTACAGTCTGCTAATACTAGGCCGAATTGCCAATGCCGCAGCTGCGAAAGTGTCTGCCAACTGCCAAGCACAATACAGACACTACACTGTCTAGATATACATACTTCTTGGAAAGTTTTGAACACTGTTCTTCCGAAAAACCAAGCTTGCATGCCTTAATCCATGCTTTGAGGCTGGCAGTCGGACGATACGCACACATCACCGGCCGAACGGTGACCTGGTCAGTTCAACTGTGTATGAATGTACCTGGTTTTCGTTGTGACTGACGCTAATTCATCTTGTGTGTGCATGACATAGCGATGAGGAAGCTCGACTTTCTTGAAGTTGTTCGAACTACGCTTCCGGGCTTCAGTAACCGCTAGTGCTTCCTGTGAAAGTTGTGCAGCCAGATTGCCGACTTCGGACTTCGTAGCGACATCTCGTCTGAGCACCGGGCTTTGTACCCAGAGAAGTATCGATCCATGATGAAGATCCCGAGATTTGAGCAGTTTTCAATCCTCACTTGAATCTGCACCGACATTTGTAAACGTGAGAAAGCCGATTGTGGTGTGGGCTGGGCTGGCGAGCCTTTGTGGAACTGAGGCCAGGTTCTATGATTCCTCTGATGAAGGACCGGGATTTCAAGCGCGTAGCATTCAGCATTCGGCGGGTGAGGCTGGTTGGACGTCAAGGCATTGACAGCAAAAAATAACCTCTCGGAAATCCCAGGATCTATTTCGAGCACGTCCATTGGGCATTCGTCGGCAGAGTCCGAGCCGGAACATCTAGCAGCCTTTGCTGGAAAGACTTGCGCATGAACCAAGCCTGACCGATAATCGATAATCAGGGAGCCCAAGCTCACCGTTTCTCTTCCACTACTTGTAGCAATTTACAGCATCACCCAAAAGGCATTCCTGGAACGGTCAACGGTGCTGCTTACTTACTTCTCCCACCGGCACCTGCTGCTTAAATGTAAAGGGATAGTGTTAATGGAAGCTCTCTGGAGCTCTGGCAGTCAACAGGAAGGCTGCACAGAATTTAAGTCCTGAAGCTGCGCATAAAGTGCACAGCGGGCGTAACACATGAGATGGGCAGGGGTTGACGGTTGCAAAACGGGTTCATCATTTCCGACACAGCCCTGCTGATCTCAATCTGCGTAGCCCGACTCTCAGACGATGTACAGTCTTCTCAGGCCAGTCTGCAACCAAGGGTCTGAAGCTGGCGTGAAAAGCGGTTTTAACTTGATGCTTCGAGAGACGTGCCATGGCAATGTGAACTTTCACTCCTTTTTCAAGCACCGTGACAGGACCCCGTGGACCGAGCGAGGGAAGGCAGGCGCCTCAGGGCCCTCGGCTCCGAAACCCGTCGCACTGTGGGCAGGCGGAGCAGGCTCCGGGATTGTGGGCTGCAATTGTTGTGCAGGCGGTCGGACGTTCGGCTGCGGCTGTCGCTGGTCGCAGATCGGCTTGAGAACGCAGTCCGGGCCCATGGCATGTTCAGTGGCAGGGCTTCTGCGGAGAGTATCATTCACTCTCATGTTCTTCTCTACGCTTTCTGTCTTGACAGAAGTGTACGCGGTGCAGACATGCATTGCGAGGCGCTGTCATACTGGTCCGATGGGCGCAGGTCGGATGCAGGCGGGCTCTTCCACGGCAGGCGAACTCTTACAGGGCTGCAGTAGGGTGGAAGTGCAAGGGTTGCGGAGGCCCTTCCACGCCGATGGCAGCTAGGACGTTTTTCAGCTTAAGTTGTCGCTGGAGCGATGTCATTGACGGGGGAGACATAGTCAGCATCTGATTCTTGAGCAACTAAAGTGGTGCGGACGCCTGCTGTCGCTTAATGGACCTCAAACAGGCCTTTAAGTGTGCCAGGTATGCGAATCCTGATGGGCTAAGACATGAAGTGCTGCAGGATATGTGCCCCTGCCAACGGCTTGAAAGCATAGTGCAGGGAATACCTGGATAGCAAACGAGGCGATGGTATGAAATGGTAGGGTCTCGTTTTGACGGATGGAAGCGGCGCTGCGGCGGCGCCTGGACCAGCGCCGTGGACGCGCTGCAGCGGATGTGGATGCAGAAGGGAGCACATCAGAAGCAGACCGCACCAACGCCGGCGTTACCGTCCACATCTACGATGTGACTGGCAACGGCGCCGTGCAGCAGCTCAATCAGCCGCCCGGCGAACTTTGAGTCAATTGGGCAGTGTTGCCGCTACAGCGATTGCATGTAACTCTAGCAGCTTTGGCTGCCGAGGGTTTTCCGGGCAGCTGGCACCGGTGCCTTCCATGCAGGCTCGGATGTAGGACTTTGACTAGTTCAGCTGGATAGCGGCAACATCAATGCTTGCCTCTGAGCTTTGTCGCAAGCAAATGATCTGCAAGGCATCAGATTTCTCCATCTCATAAGGGCGGAGGAGCGGCGAAGCTGGGTTGGTTTGCACTCTCAGGTGTCGAAGTCTATGGTCGAGAGTACAGCTTCGGCTACTGCGATGAAGGCCGTGAGAGCAGACATCATGTAGGCCTTTGCAAAGCTGCCTCCCCAGGCTCTGGGATCTTCGACTGTGGGCCGCAGGACTGCCCTTAGAGATTGCAGGCCTGTCGAAGTTGCTAAACTGCTAGATGTCGAAGGAGTGCAGCAGCCACAGCTACCGCGAGGCAGTTGACATGGGCTTTACGGCTCTGAGTTCCGACGAGGCACTTGCGGCACTCGCTATCGATTCCTGTGAGATCCTGTGAGAGAGCGGCAGGTGAGGTCTGTCCTTGGCAGGCTGGCCTTGGACTGGCCGGGCACCGGCGGCCTGGCGGAGAGCATAGCTTGAAGATTGAAGATGATTGAAGGATGCTCCCTTCTTCTCGCCGAGGATACGATCTTCTCCGCAGGAACTGCTGCAGCTTCTGCAACGTCCTCTGCATCGAGCTGGGCGATTCGGCTGCCAAGTGAAAGGACGCTTCACCTTTCCATCTGATGCAGCTGTGGTGGGGCCGTGGGCCGGGCTGGTGCGCTCCGTCAGTCGCTCGAGGTGTTGGGCCGATGCCAGCCTGGGCAGCGTGCCAAGATGTCCCAAGCGCTCAAGCACAGGTCCTCCGAGAGCGTCCTTTGCTTGCTTGCGATGTCGCACTGGAGGTCTCGAACCTGGCAGCTGCCGGCGCATCCCTCAGCGATGCCGCGGAAAGCCTACGGCGGCGGGCTGCAGAGGCCAGGCCCGAGCCCTTGGCGCCGCCGAGTAATTCGGGGGGGCCGGGGGGGGGGGGGGGGNNGGGGGGGGGGGGGGGGGGGGACCTGGATGCCAGGTCGGCGGCGACCTGCATCTTCAGGCTCCGGCTGCGGAGGAGATTGCAAGGAGCCCGAAAGTTGACATTGTTGTCTCTGCATGTCGGCATCTGATAAACATCGACTCCAAGAATCCGTGTTCATCCCCATTGATTCTTGCGTCGCTGGGATACTTTTTTTGGCTACTCTGAACCCCGGATTCGTCCCTCCCAAGGCAGCTGAACTTGGCTCCTGGGTTCATCGTGCAGCCGTGCAGGCTGGGCCGGTCTGGCGCAGAGAGTGTCGTAGAGACAGGAGCCTGAAGCTCTTATTTCCATGACGATAAAGATGCCACGGCTAGTAACATCGTTGTAGGTGTAGGTGTCTGGGAAATACAGGTGTGTGTTCACAGTGTTTAAGAATCCCACGTCCCTGAGCTGAGGTCAAGATGCTGGACGAGGCAAACCAGTTCTCAAACCGTGCGCAGGACTTCCAGCCCCAATCCAAGACTCGGTACCTGAAGCGCTCAACCCGTGTAACCCGTGTCGGGTCCTACAAAAGCATGTCTTCTAAGCTCAAGAGTAGCCGAGGCCTGTTGGAAATGCATTCAATAAGGCGTGCATTCAATCAGTGCGATTCGACCTAGAGAGACAAAATGAGACGCTGTTCCATTCGACGACTTCAATTCGCGAGCGAATGACGCAGCAATGGAAATGGCAGTAGCAACAACTCGAGAGGCAGCAGCCAGAGTATTTTGGTTATGATGGTGGTGACGATGATGATCGTAATCGCAATTGACACATGTCCAGTGGCATCCGGCCGTCGTCTCGTGCGCGTTTGCAAGCAGAAAGACTTTCATCACGAGCCTCCTAGTCCTAGTGCTTTTCGCAGGAACTGGCAGAAGAAGCCGGCAACCAGGTCCTTCCATGCCAGCTGTGCTTTTCTGCCACTTTCTGTCTGGTGGCAGGTCCGAGCTCTTGATGAGTCCCATGGCCTTAGCCAGAAGGCGATCTTTGAGAATGAATAGCCCGAGTGCTGTCTGCTTTGAGCTCTGTCAGGCTGCTGCCTTGGTGGAAGCTGCGACTGTCCACAGCGAGGATGCAGAGCGTCTTGGCTCCAAGAAGCCGGGTTGCGGGGCTGTTCGTGAAGAGTTTGGTGTTTTTAGTCATGTGCTTTCCTGGTTGAAGTACGGCATCCGATGATGGACAACAAGTACAAGTAGAAGTACACAGGGCAGGAAGGCAGGCACCGCTTGGAGCATTTGCTGCTCAAGGCGTGCGTTGCGTTCTTCCCTGCAGCAGCTGTGGGCTGCGGAGTCACCTGGCAACAACTACAGGCAGATTTTGCTTGCGTGTATCGGCTGGATCGTGATCTCAGGCCAATTGACAGCCCCTTGGCTTCACTTCACTTGGCCTCGAATTTTTATGGGCCTGCGCTAGGATTGCGTGATGTGTGGTATTGTGTATCAGGCTTGCTGTGAGAGCAAGCAGCGGGCGGACGTATGCTGCCACTGGTGTCAGACGACGTCGTCAAGCGCATCACGGGTTCCTTGGGGGCTGTGGTCTGGACTTACAAGGAGCCGAGCACACGGAACGACCAGCAAGCAATGAAGCTGAACATGGTAGAAGAGAGAATGCCCAGCTGGCGCGTCAACATCCCAGCTTCCATGTCCATGCGGCGGCGGCTGCGCTGGTCCTCTGACGTCCATGCTTCGAGAACCCTTTCGAACTCGTGACCAAGGAGTTCAACAGCTTTGGCACGCTAAGTCAATCATCCTCTTGGTTTGACCGATCATGAGCCGACGCTGCATGTGTCTTCTGCTCGAGGCTAGACTGGGACGCCAGTTAATGAAGGCTGCACAGCCCCTCCAAGTGTTTGCTCGATCGACTTGCACAGTGCGCCGCTTGGTTGGGCACAGCTGCGTGTTTCTGCATGTGGGCTCAGAGGAAAAAGTAAGAGATGCAAGTGCGAGACTCTGAAGGGCAGCGCCAGCGTCGTGCCAAGTGCAAACAGTATTGGCAAATCATTGTATGTATGATGTCTGATAAAATTACGCATTGCGGTTCCCACTCGCACAGCTTTGGAGGTGCACCCAGCGGACCTGCAGTGTCTGACAATGACGACAGCACGATGCTTGGAGAATTCCAATTTGCATTTAAATGTGCACTTCGACCATTGCTGCTGGTAGCAGAGCTTGGCACTTTGCATCCGGGGCAGTCAGGGTGTGGCCGATTCACAGAATGTGCGCAGCATCTTGCCCTTGCCACGTTCTCTACATCTGTCATGAGCTACGGACGTCTGATGCTGCTTAAGACGACCAATCTGTCCATGTGCTGAAGTCTTCATGTATCTTCATTGACGCCTTTGTTGCGCAGTCTGCTTTGACGGTTCATGATGCCTACAGACTGCGCTGCAGCGTGAGGTCCTTCATTCGTGTCCTGCAGCTCCTCTCCGTCACGGAGAAGGTCGCTTGAGCCAGCTGGTTAGACTCTCTGGTCATGCGATACCAGGAAGGATTCATGAAGTTTTTCAAGTTGACTGCTTGCCATGCCAAAGCCTGTGCCAGTTGCGACATGAGCACACCAACCAGCCTGGACACTTGGGAGTCTGCGCGAAGCTGTGGCTTGGCTATCATTAGGACCCGTCAGGCCGCGAGGTGCTTTCAGGATTTGAAGATATTCTAGCCGCTCGTGCGTGGTCACATAATGAACCCCGTGATGAGGCCTGTCCAATGCGCCTCCGCAAGCGCAAGAGGCATCTGCACGGAGCCGGAGATGTGTGGCATGCAATTCGATGTGTGCATTTCGTTGAGGGCAACTCCTCGTTTTTTGATGACCGTTTCTCAGCCCGCATACGAAGCAGGCTGCCCCGTGCCAGGGACCCTCGGCGTCTGCGCTTGCAAAGGAGCTGAAGCAGGAGGCGAGGCATCACGGCAGACCCACAACAGCAGAGCAGGATTCAAAAACATCCACTGAGTTGTATCAGCATGTTCATGCTGACTTGCGCCAGTTGCGACGACGTTCCAATCCCCGCGAGCAGCGTCCTCAGCAGCGCCTGCAAAGTGTGTGCAAAGCAGTGGGCCCCGTGCAGCTTGCAGTACTTTCTTGTGTGGGATATTGGCTTCCCAGCTCAAGCCACGCCTTGCAAAGATGGCAGACGCAAGCGCAAGTAGTGGCCAAGCCGTTTCTTTCCCAAGTGATGATCGGACCTGGCAGGTCTCCTCAGATTATCGGACGAATGACAAATGCTTACATGGGCGGCCTAAAGGAGTTAGGGTGGCTAGGGCTTGGCCTTACATGTCCCTGGCGCTTAATGTCGCCTTGCTAAGTGGCCGCCAGACATCGGTGGTGGTGTCTCCCGACACTTGTGTGCAGGAACGGGCCAGTCGACAAACCAACCGTTACTGCTCTTCCACGCCGCAGACCGTTCACATTCTGAATGCGATTGTCGAGCTTCGTTGCTGTCACCTGTCTTGGGAGGATCTGAAGACGAAAGTCCAACAGGACTCTGCTTGATGCCTAGACTTGTCTTTCGCCTGGACTGATCTAAACAAGGGCCGGCCGTCTTTGTGATTTAGAGCTCGTCAGTTCTTCACAGGAGCTCCGCATCGCTATCGCCAGTCTAAGTGGTCCAGGAGCGGGCTGTGCATGCCCAGCAGAGCGCTGCACTGCGTCATCAACGGCAGATTTACCCAACTACATGTAGCTGGAAAGAAAGGATGGCGAAATATTTACGACAGAAACCCAAAAGCACAGAGCAGTTGACGTGTGGAGGAGGCTTGCTACACCCGCTGTGGACGCTGTCAGAAGCAGGGGTTTGCAGCGGAGACACACTGTTTGCAATCTGCTGCCCAGCCACAATTGCCACTGGGACGTGAGTCGGTGAACCTGTTCACTCCATCCTCCATAACTGGGCCTGAGATGATTCCCATACTTAGACTAAGCAGATGGCCTCTGGCAATGGCTGCTACTGGTAACCCTTCGGCCACGATCTGTTGCTCTTGGGCTTTGCTAACGGAGGCCTCCAGTCGCCGCTCGTCTGTCTTCGCGCTGACCCGTCGCGATGGATCCGCGGTGCCTGGGCTCTGACAGAACTTCGTCGTGGTTCGCTATGCAGTTTGGTTGCTCATCATCATCACCGTCAGCATCATCAGCATGTGGTGGTAGTCGTCGTCATGATAGCAGTCAAGCAGTCGTCTTCGTTATCGTGGTCGTAGTAGCAGCAACAGCAGTTGTACTGGTGCTGCGGCAGGACTAGAATTCGACCGACCCCGCCTGCCAACACGTCGGGAGATCGCGCAAACCCAGCCTTCTAGCAGCTTGTGGCGACTTCGACTGCTACTGGCAGGAGTAGTATCAGTACATGCCTACGACTACTACTACTACTGTACATTGCTGCTACTGCTACTGCTACTGCTACTACTACTGCTACTACTACTACTACCACGACTACTACTACTACTACTACTACTACTACTACTACTAATTCTACACAGCAGCATCCCGCTTGGCCGGCTCTCGGTCGTATCCGCTTGTACAGGGCTTATCACTTTAGCAGTTGTTTCTGCTACTTCCAGAAGCGTTGTGTCAGACTTTCGAAGACGACGATAATTGCTACAAAAGCACCCACTGGTCGAAGTGGGCCCAAGGAGCCCGGTGCGGCCCAATCTCCAACAACATGAAACCCCGAACTGCTCCAACTGGTCGCAGTCCTTACTACACGCTCTTATTAGGGCTTGCGGTTTCCAGACTACCGCTTTAGGGTGTTTGGGAACCTGGGTTTTCGCTCCTTACACAGGGTTTCTTTGGGACTCCGTTTGTCGCTCCTTTGAGGGTTTTAGTTGTCGCCCGACCCACTGTTGTTTCAAAGGTTTGGGATCATCATGCCTCCTTCTAACATACTGCTTTTCGGGTTTGGGTCTATGGTCCTGCTCGCTTTAGGGTTTGGGTTTTCGTGCACATCGGGACCTCGTAGCCCCGATCCTTCCCAACAAGCCGAACCGTCCGTCCACGAAACTGAACTGGCAACAACTACGATATTACGAACAGCGCATGCCTGCCTCGAAAGTCGCATGATCATGATGTCGACGATGAGCAATCGACGAAAAGCTCATAGACCTTTCACACAGAATGCCCCCAGAGCGTTTCATAGTTTTAGGCGCGAATGGCCCGTGGGCAGAACTGAAGTGGCGACGGCCGGTATCTCACCATGTCACGAGTACGACTCGCCTGTCACGAAACTCAGGCTCCGCCAGGCTCTGCGACAGACATGTGGGGGCAAATCGTCCACTTTGCTCGTCCAACTTCTAGTACTGCTACATACTGCTACCGCTAAACTGCTGCTGCTACCTGTACTGGTACTTGGACGACACCAGGACGACGACCAGGACGACGCGTACAGCCACCCCTGATACTGCTGCTGCTACCGTGGGTGGACGAAATCTTGCACCGCTTTTCATTTTTGCAATTTTTTGCTATTCATTTTTGCAATTTTTTGCATCTGGCCAAAACATCCTAACCCCTGGTTAACATGGGTTCGCAAGATTTGTCCCATCCACTGCAGTACCAGCTCTGCTGTCATCATCGGTCTTTGTTTGCTTGTTTTTGTGACGCATGTCGTTGTCGTTGTGCTCTTTTGGTCTCGGTTTTGCATGTAAGAACCGATAGCCCGGCATGGTAGCCGTGTTGGGCGAGGTCACGGATTTCGGTATGTGGTCTTGAAGGCATGGCGGTGTTGGTAAGCTGGATGTGTGTCCTTACGACCTAGGGTTTGTGCGTTTTGTTATCCGTTCGGGTATCGGAGGTCTGGTAACTTACTCATCGTGACTGCGCCGTCTGCCGGCCATGATGAATCTGCGGTAATCCGCTGCACTTCAGTTTCAAGACACGTGCATTCAGGTGACCTGGGGTGGGAGCGGAGACAGCAGCTGCAATTTGCAAGAGCAGCTTCAGGAGCAGTGGGGCTTTGATAAATTGTGTTCGATTGGTGCAGCATCTTCTGTGTGTCTTGTGTGCAGCTTGGCCCGGATCACGAAGAACGGTTGAAATCTGCGTGCAAGCTCGATTCAGGAGGTCGTCCAAATCCGGGTCAATATGGCGGCGTTTGCTGCTATTCGTTCTGACGGTTCTGTGGTGACTTGGGGGAGCAAGGCCGCAGGAGGCCGGGAAGCATTGAAACGGCTGTCGTGCTACGGAAACTGCCAGACATCTTTGCAATCTTCAGGGGACAGCAGCGCCGTCCGGGACCAGCTCCGTAATGTGTCTTGTGCTTATATTGGCACTCCACGTTTTTTTTTGCTAGATTTTGCCGGATCGTAGCTTGCGAGACACTTGTATTTGTGTCGGTTTTACCAGAAGACATCTTGATTTAGGTTAGTCAGATCCGGAGCACTTCGGATGCCTTTGCTGCTCTTCGAAACGATGGCAGCGTCGTGACCTGGGGAAACCATGCGAACGGAGGAGACAGTCGCAAGGTGCAAGGTGTCTGTCGGGTCGAATACTATGAATTTCCGGTAGGGGGTCCAGCGCGCACCCCATTTGCCGTGCATCTAGACTTCCCGGTCCTGTGTGGGTCTAGGAGTCTGGGGCTGAGGGGTTGACGATTTAAGGTTTGCGGTTCAGGGTTGAGGATTTAGTTAGAGTTTACGTTTGGGGTTCAGGGTTCAGGGTCTGCGGTTTGGGGTTCGAGGTTTAGAGTTTAGAGCTTTCAGGTGTAAGGGCTACGGTTTATGGAAATTGTATGGGGTTTGGGTCCCTCAGTTTTGAGCGAGTTGTTTTTTCCGGGCTGGGTTACTTGGCTGATGTCTGCCATGGAAAAACTGCTCGGGAACTGGCGCTGGCTGGGTCCGTGAATGTGCGAAAGTGTGTGTTTGTTTTGCTCTGGGCTGGGCTGCTTGCCTGCTGTCTGCTATGGAAAGACTGCTCGGTTTAGGGCTTAGGTAGGGCGTGTAGGGTTTATAGAAATTGTGTAGGGTTTGGGTCCCTCAGTTTTGAGAGAGTTTGACCGAATGTTGTTTTTGCTGCTCTGGGCTGGGCTGCTTGCCGGCTGTCTGCCACGGAATTGACTTAGGATAACAGAGGCGGGCCATGTCCCTTACGTTCGCCTTTCATTGAAGGAAAACAGGCAAGAATCACTTACCTCGAGTTCGCCCTTAATTGAACGAGAGCAACGGAACAAGAACAATTATTTCGGCCTGCTTTTGAAAGACTGTTGCTGATTGCTTTCGAAAGATGGCTCAGGATACCTAAAACTTGGTGGCACACTCAAGGATCACAGAGTAGGGCCATGTACATTAAGTTCGCCCTTAATTGAAGGATGACAGAGGCGGGCCATGTACCTTATGTTCGCCGTTACTTGAAGGAAAACAGAAAAGAATCACACACCTTGAGTTCGCCTTTAATTGAACGAGAACAACGGAGGGCCATGCATTTCATGTTGACCCTTCTCTTCATGGAAGGGAAACACAGGAAGACCACGTACCAGAGATAAAGACATGTACCTTATGCGCACCCTTATGATTCGAAGAAACGGCACAATTTCTATTTATTGCTGTCTTGAGGGTTCAGGGTTTAGGATTCAGGCTCTAGGGTTCAGGGTTCAGAGTCTACGGTTTAGGGGTCAGGTTTTAGGGTTTAGGGCTTTGGGGTGTAGGGGTTACGGTTTAGGGTTTTGGGTTCAGGGTTCAGGGTCTATAGCGTTCAGGGTTGACGGTTTAGGGTGCAGGCCTGGCACTCGACCGGGAAAAAGGCATGCACTCAAAACGGCGGCCCTGAATGTCCCGTAGCTCGAAATTCAAAGCAGTGGTACCTATGGAACATGGAAGGTGCAAGATCGACTGCTAGACGTGCACGCGCTCCGCGGCACAGCCTCGGCTTTTGCAGCGCTCTGCAGTGATGGCCGAGTGGTGACCTGGGGACATTCCAGGACCCACAACGTTTCAGTAAACTTCGTAAGGTGCCTAGGGCTGAGGGCCGAGAGATATTGCCAGGAGTGGAGGTGACAGCCAGAAAGTTGCTCGGAAGAAAGGGGGGGGGGCCTTGCAGCCACGCAAAAGAGCCGGAGCCGAGCCTCGGCCGAGGTGCAGAGCGAGCTCTTCGATGTGGTCGACATCAGGGCAACCTTTGGAGCCTTTGCGGCCATCCGCCGGGATGGGCGAGTTGTGGCTGCTCGACTCAGGAGTCATTCGGAGGAACAGATGAGACATCAGAATATATCAGGTCTTAGCTTAAGCGTCGTCAACTCTGTCCTCCGCGTCCATGTGATCTCGCTTCGTAGCAGCATAGCATGCAGCAGATGCTAGGGAGCCGGCATCCCCCGATCCGATGTACATTCGCAGATTTAATGATGCCTCAAGCAGATCTTCAGTCTTCCGGTCGAGCGAGGTCATACGGTGGACATGAATTTGCCCTGCCCCTGGCTTGAGATTCCGATCACACGAGGCCTGGGGAAATCACAGTCACGGTGGCTCAGCGCCTCGGCTGCCAATTCCACCGCCATCGCCGCTGCTGCTGCTGCTGCTGCTGCTGCTGCTGCTGCTGCTGCTGCCTCTCTCTCTCTCTCGCGCTGACTTCGCCATCCTTGTCAAGTGGAATTCGGATGAATGTTGACGCGATGGGCTTCAGCCAGCCCAGGTGCCCCAGCCTTCCAGCTCGCGCTTGGCCCTCTGCGACGTAAGGCCCAAGAGACGAGACGACCCAAGACTGCCAAGACTCGACATCTTCAGCCAACTACTCAGCCAACTCCGGCTCTAAACCCAGCTCTCCAGGCAGTTACGTGGCACAGACTTCGCCTTCGCGGCACTCCGCAAGGCTGGGCTCTGGACTATTGACGCCAGCCGGAGCTGCGCACACAAGCTTGTCCGCAGGATGGGCGAGTGGTGGCTTGGGGGGATTCCAGGCACGGCGGGGCCGCTTGCCTGCATTTTGGGTCATGCCTCCATGCCTCCATCTCTTGGAGCCCCAACGCCGGAGGAGACAAGCCGCATTCAGGACTGCGAAATACCGTTTCTGGCAGCGTTGAGCACGTTCTTTCATTCAAGAGCATGGTTTGAGAGAGAGAGAGAGAGAGAGAGACAACAGGATCAGCTGACCGATGTTCGACAGATCCGCTCCTCACTCGGTGCCTTTGCAGTCCTGCGTGCAGATGGGACAGTGCCTTGGCTTTTTTTAACGAAGTGCCATTCGCCAAAGCGCCGACTTTGAGCTGCGCTGGAGGTGGTCACCTGGGGTAACGAGCACCATGGTCTCCTGGCTCTGAAAACATTGTGGCGAGAAGTGCGGAGCAGAGCGGAGCGAAGAGATTTGAGACCATTTCGGCTGCCGAAGTCGTTCCTAGACCTCGTTAGGACATCCCCTGCTGTGTGAGGCGGTAACAGCTCCGCGGTCCAGGAGCAGCTCCAGGACGTGCGCCTTCTTCGGCCGTCCGGCTTCGCTTTCGCTGCCCTGCGTGCCTGGCTGCGAGTTTCTTTTCAGCCCTGCCTTGCGCCTTGCAGAATGACCCGGACCGCCACAAGCCCTTTATCCTTCGGGGGGGTTCGAGTGTCAGGTGCAGATGGCAGCGTAGTGACATGGGGCAATCGACGCTGCGGCGGTGCAACCTGGCTAGTAGGACAGCCCAAGAATCAGCTCGCATGCGTCGGCAGGGCACTCTTCAAGAGCAATGATTGTCGCCAACCGGGCACCAAGGACAGCCGAAATGTGCAGCGCCAGCTGACAGATGTGATTGAGATGCGAGGCTCAAGTTCTGTGCCTCGGCTTAGCCTCTTGCCTCGTGACTAGGCAAATCTGAAGTGTTTCTCCGCACTTTCGTACACAGCTGCTTGAATTTGCCACGCAAGGCCTTTGCAGCTGTCTGCGCCGACGGTCGTGTGGCAGCTTGCTCGCATGTCAAGTCGGACAGGGCGGCCCGATACTTCAGCTGCCTTCAGTGTTTGCATGGCTAAGGTCACTTGGGGCAATGAAGCAAACGGGGGTGACAGCAGCACTGTACAGAAGCTGCTCCAGAAGAGTTCAGACATGTGAGTAGCAGGCGCGGACACCCAGACACCCAGAGCCCTACGCTCGCGGCACCCCGGTGAACCCCGAGCACCGTGGCCTTAGGAACCTAAGACGACGCGGTTCTTGCTCGCAGCCTGCAGGCTTGTGCAGATATGTTTGCACTCATCCCCCGGACGGGAGGAGGGCCTCCAAAGCCGAGGACCGTGACGAAGCTTGAGTGTTTAGTGAAAAAAGAAGGTTTTAGTTAGACCCAAGTTCCAAGAAGCAGAATGCAATGCAGCTCACTCTTGTCCTCGTGCATTGAGGCCCCGTACTCCACGGCGCTGCATCCGGCGACGCCCAAAGATCGAGCTCTCGCCGGTTCCTCCCAAGGGATAAGTGCTCGGCAGAATCGGACGAAGCATGTAATGAGAGACACAGCGTTCTGGTCACAGGTTGCAGTTCGATAGTTTTGCAGAGGCGTTTATCTGTTCGTGCGACGTGGGGCTGTGGAGAGCCGCCTTGTACTTCTATGCACGAGCAATCGTGGTGGCCTTGTCAGGCAGAACACACGCCCTGCATTGAAGGGAGAGAGTGACACTGCTTTAGAAGCAACCCTTGCTTCTCCAGTGGGAGTCACGAGAGCGGAGGCCTTAAGGATTCGACGAACAGCCGGGAGATGGACAGCAATTGGAGCGTCAGATCAAAATTGAAACTCTTTGAGGTGCTGAAACACACGCGGCAATCTGGGCATGGACTGCAGGAAAGGATCTCGTGATTCAGGCTGGCTGTGCAGGAAGCAAGGGCGGGAGCAACACAGAAGCACCGAACTGCTCGGAAGCTGCAGTTGAGTGCGAAAGGACAACACTTTTGTCAATAGACGAGCACAGGGCAAGAAGACAAGGCCCCATCCAACCAACGGGCAAATGATGCACGTGCAGAGATGCCCAATCTGTCGGGGGATTTGCCCGTGCTTTGTACGGGATTCGCACCAATCGGCTGTCTCGGGAGCAGGACTGACTTAGACACAGCTAGACGAGCAGAGCCTGACAGCTTTGTGCAGCTGGCGTGTCGGATGCCAGTTCACGCCTTCGGATACGAATTCGTTTTTCTATGCGAGTATGTGTGAGAGAGAGGGAGAGAGAGAGAGAGAGAGAGAGAGAGAGATAGAGAGAGAGAGAGGGAGAGCGAGATAGATAGAGAGTTATCAACACCGCAGAGCCATGGCAGGTGGCAGAACCTGGTGAGACGCCATACTTGGAGCGTGGGCAAGGCAAGCACAGACGGCTAGGTGTGTGCTTGCCCTAAACGCTTCCCTGGATCGTAAGTCGCGACTTTTGAAATGAGAAGGACATGTGAGGTGGGGTCGGGTCGGCCTTTCCTGGTGCATGATGTCTGCATCCACTGTTTCGCCCGCTCGCGGGCTGGAGGTGAAGTAATCCCGCGAAAACGGTGGGGCTCAGTTGGGCAGAAAGGTTTTTCCGCTTCAGGGCCCAGTAAGCGTGGCCGACCTGGACTTCCGAACCGAGGGAAGCGGGGCGAAACGTGGGGTCCTGAGCTTAGTTGGGCAAGACCTGCAGCGATGTAGTTAGTCAGTGCAAAGGTTGGCTGTACTTAAGACTCCCTCAACATCGGGTGTATGGTGCACCGTTGCTTGTGTGGCGCGTTCTGCTGCTCGGTTTTTGTTTGGAGTGAGGGCATGCTGGGATCCCATGCCAACATGCTCGCTTCAAGTAGCCCTGATTCACCTTGTAGCTGCAGCACTCTCAAGTGCCGCACAAGTACAAGCTAAAGACAGCAACTTCTCAGCTCTTCATGCAGGAGGACTATCCGGCGGTCGCAGCCGCAGCGATGCAGCTCCACCGCTCAGCAATTAAATTGACATGCCTTAGTCAAGCTTGGGCTCTCGAGCACGGCCAGGAAACGCACGAGAGGCATGGACAGCAGAGCTGAGCACCTGACAGTCAGAGCAAGGTGCCCTCCAGCAGCTCCGCGACAAAGCGCGCTGGAGGCTTCAGCCTTACCTTGAGTGCAGAGACTGAAGGAATTTTCTTGTTCGGCATGTTGGCATCGTTCGCCTCAGAATCAACTGCAAAGCCTCCAAGTCTGAAGCGTTCATCAATCACAAGGCTTCAAACTCAAGACGTCGAGTCTACTGCTTGCGTGCCAGGCCGCCCCGGCTTGGCTGTGCAGCCCTCACCACGCCGGCGGGGCATCGCGCGAACAAAAGCTCAACCACCTTGGAGAGTTTTGGAGATCTCGTTCTTTGGAGCCTCCACCGTCGCACAAGCACCGTGCCATGCAGGCTTTGGTTCTTCGGCGCCAGGGCTGAGAAAAACGGAAAAACTGAGGGCTAGAAGGGCAAGCTTTACAGAGCTGCCCCGTCGAAGGTTTCAGAGGCCTTGGGCTCTGCAACTACTCGAATCTAAGTTCGTTCCCTGACACTTGACTTCTGCAGCATCCCAGTCTGCTAGACTTCGCCAGATGTGCACATCATTGATGCAGCTGATGTTGTGACAGCACCAAACACACCAGACACCAGACTTCTTCGGTTCGATCGACTTGCAAATGCCGAGCCCTCACTGTGCTCCTCCCAGCCACAAACGTGGCCCGTGCCGCCATCCTGCACATCCGGGTGCTGAAAGAGGCTCCTTTACCACAAAATTCACCGCATCGTAAAGCCAGTGGTTATCCCGATCATCGCGATGAGGAGTCCTTGCTTTAGGCACCCGGGCGAAGGGATCTGTATTTGTTCATTACATATCCACAAGATGCTTGTCGCTAGCAGACCGCAATCTCGACGGATCGCTCTTAGCAGTGTATTGTAGGAGCCGCATGCACTATCGGCTGGCTGCCTGGCAAGCTTGCCTGTTGCATTTGAGCTGGTGCCTGGTGGCAGAACCTCCAACATCAACAAGTTTGATTGCTGCATGACCCCCTATGATACATCCGAGCTAGGACTGCACTGCCACCATGCGCAGGCGATTCCCGCTTCAGAACCTAATTCACTGCATACTCGTAGTTGCGTCGCAGGTGCAGTTGCTTCGACCCCTGAGGCTTTCAGACGGGGAACCCGGGAAATCTGCAAACTTTCCAGATGCACGCCAATCGCGGCACAGCCCAAGCGGGGATCTGGTTTGGCACGCTCCGGGGTTTGTGCTTCTGCCCTGCCCTCGTGTTAATCCGTAGCCTCGGAGCCATCCAGGAATCCAGGGAACCGCAGGAGGCCGACCGATCGGGCCTTCCTCCTGGTTCCGGTGGCTCTTGCGCGAGAATGGAAGATCCCATCAGCCGAGGTGCTGCCCAGAGCATCCACCTTAGCTGACCGATCCTTCAGAGTAATGCCTGCACCGCCAAAAAAGAACTGCGCGAGGATTCATGGTAGACCGCCTGAGCAAGTATGAGCATGCGCTGCAGAAGACACCAAGTCGAGGGCGCTCCAACTCGTGCCATGTCTTAAAGGCATTGCATAATCCTGCTTGCCAGAGGCGCTGGATCTCAAACGGCATGCCTCGCGCACGAACGCATCACTGATTTGGCTATACAACTTGCCCCGACTGCTCAAGCTGAAGGAAAGAGGCAGGATTGGCATTGCTCCACAACCTCGGTTTTGTCAGGACCGACATGCAAGGCGCTCTTGAGATGGTAAACCCCGCAGTGAACATCGCACTTCCTGGACACTTGTTTTCGAATTCTCTTCTGCTTCTGGCCCGGAGGACCATGGCAGTAAGCGGAAAGGCCAGCTTCCAATGCTTCTATCTTCCGGTCTCGGTAGAGAGCGTTTACATCGGAGGATTCCTTTGCGCGTTCTTGTGGCCTTTCTCGTGCACTGACAGAGGCACTTTCGGTGCTCTCTTGGGTCCTGCTGCTGCTGGCTTCCGGAGATGCACAGAGGACTACAGTGCGGACCTGAAAGGATGCACACACTCCTCCTGACACGCTGCAAGTCAGATTCCAAGTCATATGGTGACCTGAGGCCTCCAAGTATGAGGCACGTGCAAGTCAGAAACTGACTCTCTTCGTGGACAGCAATGCAGAGAGAGAGGGAGAGAGAGAGAGAGAGAGTGTGGGTGAATGCTCGCGATGTGCATTGGGCAGGGGAAGGAGCTCATGATCACCCCGAACATCCTTACCGGCATCCTCATCGGCACGGCCCACAGAGCCGCCGTGTCTAGCATTCGGATGCAGGGATCACTCTTGGCTGGATCGATGCCTAGCCGGACTGCGGCAACTCAAACATAACTTGAGCCATGAGCGCGTGAAGGTGAAATGGCCTTGTCATCGTTTTTTTTGCAAGGCTCCCTGTGGATCGCCGTGTTCCTCGTCGGCTTCTGCTGCTTGTTCGCCGTACAGACTCCGGCTGCCTTCGAGGTGCTCTCTGTTTTCCCTTCGGCTGTGAGTCTCCCGCGAAGTGTCTGCGAAGCAGGAGAAAGCTCTGGTGATCAACAAGAATTACTGAGGGCCAGGCTGCTAGCTTGTGTATGTTGAGCGTAGGCTAGTAGGAACCAAGCAGGGTCGGAGTTGGTTTCGTTTCTGCTGCCGCAAGAAGTTTCACAACGGATACACCGGGCAGATGGACTCATGCACCCCTTTTGCTTGCAAGGCAAGGTGCAGTCCATGCATCGAAACTCCACAGGGTTCCTCTTACGATCTCTTACGAGCTGCAGGGGCAAGAGGTGTGCCTGAGTCCTGTTATGAAGTCGCACGCGACCTTCAGTTCCAGGTGATGTGTGTTTGATGTCCTGAACATTCAACCACCAGCTGTCGCACCTCCTCGTGATTGCTGCGCTCAGTTGGGAGCACACAAGTTCAATCACAGTGCAGACACCTTCGGATGGAGCCCGGGATAATCCGACACCAGTGCAGAGCAAAAGACGACAAAGGGGCGGTGTGCATGCACAACGTATGTCCGGAAGCAACGAAGGGGACGTGAACCAAGGAGTGCCAGCCAGGAGCCGGTCAACAAGTGTAGCACATCCTGCCTCGACACCAGATCGTACGATCTCGGAATGCTGTTTTTCAGCGAAGTCCGAGGCACCGAAGTTCTTGATGTGTGGCATCGCATGTTTCCGAGAACTTACCGACGCGCTTGAATCATGCTGGCTCCGCCAAGGGCCTCCATGAGCACGTATCACAAACATCCACCGGTAGAAAGGAGCGAGGAAGGGCGGCATGCGGCATATTCGTAGCCAGACTTGGATCTGAAGGCCAGACTGCCGGAGCAGGGCGTTTACTTAACAAGCAGAGTGGGGTTCCGCTCCACAGACATTTTGCAATGAGCCACAGAGCTGCATGGCGCGGCTCTTTCATTCTGGTGCCTGGCATGCCGAGATTATTGCAGCTGCTGTCGGCTGCCTTTGCAGTAAGAGGCCAATGGCTTCGATTCCTGCGGTGGTTTGCACGGCTTCGTGCACAGTTTAGGGCAGACTCGGACAAGCGCACCGCTTGCGAGAATTAGCCGTTTGTCAGCAAAGGGACACCTGGCCGGGTGAAGGGCTAGCACAGTGCCAGGCTCTTTGGCAGCGCAGGCTTCATGCGAGGGCCTGAGCATGTTCAGTGGTCACGTCCCTTGGACTTCTCCGACTTGTCCTGTGAGTCGACATCCAAAGTCTGCCTAGGTCCTTCGCCGGCAGCGAGACTTGAGAACCTGACCTCTTTCCCGGCTTACGACACTCGCCGCTGGTTAAGAGTAGCGTTATGATGAAGGCGGAGAAGTTTCCCTGCATTATGATCCGAGCCAGAGGCTGTCTTGGTTTGATCGTGGTCGGATCCCATCACCCGGGCTTATGTCATTCTCATGTCGTTCGGCGTCCGAGCCGCGCACGGTTTAAATTGCTGATCGTTGAATGAAGTTCTTTCGTGGCATTTGGATGCTGCGTTGTGCGTCTGAGAGTTTTTGTCCGATTGCGGTAATTCGCTTGCTCAGTGAGTACGTCGTACGGTTGCGATCGAGGCAGGGACATGTGACGGCTCGTGGAGTTGTTTGTGTCGGGTTGATTTTCCACCGTCTCCCGTGCCCACGCATCTTCATGTCCGTTTTCCTGGCTCGGGGGAGTCTCTGGAGGTGTCCAGCGAGTGATCGAAGTTCCGAACTTGTAATACTGCACGATTGATCGGATGATGCGGGCAGCGTGAGGCCACTTGTCTGGAGCTGCAGATCGCATATTCCCCAGTGGTTAAGCTAGCTTCTAATATGACTTCGATCCACGTGTGATCCGTGCCGGCTGCAGTCTGTTCAGCGTGCGACAAGGCAAATACGATTGTAGGATTTCTGCGTGTATCTTTTAGTACTGGCACGTGCCCATTCGCACATGCACCGTGAGCCTTTCGAAACGCGGAACAACCTGATAACAGTCCTTGCAGCGGAGAGAGTACTGGGTGAATATCTGTGTTACGGACTGTTCCGGTGCATCAGTCGTTGGACTGCGCAAAGCAGTTCTATTGGATTGCGTTTCGACTTGTTTCAGGCATTCCTTTAGGCTACGACCACCGAAATGCTTAGTTTTCCTCAAAAGCCTGTTTGGCTTATCACCTTCCAGGCTAGGTTCTTCCAATTCCTTGAGAGATGTTCTGCTATTGGAAAAGTTTTCTTCGACTCCTGGCAGCTTGCCATCGCACCATTCCTTCAGGCACTTAGTCCGCGTGCCAGTTTCAGTCGAACACTTTGAGACCTTTTTGCCTTCGCTTTGGGACCCTGACAGCCTTCCATGTGGGTCTGGTCTGCCGCAGAGAAGCTTCAAAGGACACTCGTGTTTCGGGTTGGCACTGGCACGCGTTGGAAAGGCTCCTGAACTTGGGTATAGGGGGTTCTGGCCCAGGAAGTGAATGTCTGTGCGGGGAGCGCACTGTAGAACCTGGTATGTTTTGGCAGACCCACTCCGACAACCTTGGCTTGCCCTTTACTGCATGGAAGGGTCGATAGTTTTCAAACCGTGACATTCCACGAGCCGAGGACAAGACGGCGCGGCCCAACGTGCATGGACCTCAGAGGTTGCTGGTCAGCTGGACGTGGCCTTGGCGTCGTGCTGTGCTCGCGGCTCCGTGTTTTCAGGGATCTTGGGACACCTGTCGATGTTGGGGTCCAGCTCTACCTGGCTGCGATTCCAGAGGCTTGAAACACTGTTTTCTGGCATCGCATGCATCGCATGCATTGCAAGCCAGGTTGATCAGAAGAAGCAGCAGTTTGCCATTGAGGGGCGGGGCCCTTATGGTAGCCAGCGACACATCACAAGATGAAAGCCTGCAGGATGTACATGTTAGCACAGATGATGCTTGTAACGAGTCTGCATGCCGCGCTCGCGATCGAACACATAGACTCACCATCTTGGGCATGGACGCTCAAGGTATTTCCGTTTAGACTGGACAGACAACCGATTGGCGACGACAGGCCGGGGACGAAGCAACCTCTTCGGCTACTGGAACTGCCGCTAAAGTGTTCAGGGCAGGATGCATGTTTCTTCTGTGGTGCACCGGGCACGCATGTGGCAACAGCAATAGGTATACCATGCAGAGGCGGGTCCCAAGAGGCACTTTCAGTCAATTCTGTGGAGCTGGCGGAAGAGCAATGGTCTTGTGTACAGGTTCGGGAGGTTGGGATGAGCCAGCAAATGATTGCAGATTGCATCCAACGAGTCTGTTTCAGGTGAGCTTGAGGATGTGCTAGTGGCGGCTGGTGCCATGCGCATAAATTTCGTGACAACCTCCGTTGCTTACATACGACTCCGAGAACCTGCGGCTTCTGTCAAGTCTCACCCGCTCGGAACACATTTTGTGCATGTCTGATGCCTGATTCGTGCATTCCGCCTCGTGTGTTCTTTGGAAAGTTTGAACCGACCAGCTCGACCTCGATGTGGAAGTTAGATTCCAGAAAGCCGGAAGAGGAAGCATGGCCCAACCTTAGCCAACGACTCCATCATAGCGTGATTCTACACAAAGTAAATTTCTGAAGAACCGAGAGGATGCACACACATGATGTGGATCGGCGAACACTCACGCTAGAGAGCTGCGTCTCGTTCCAAGAACAAGGCACCCGGAAAACCCAAGACCGTTTAGACCAGACAAACTGTGACAAATGCTCTGCCATGGTCAGCTGATGACGTTGATGACAGTAAGAGCGAACTTGCGCGGAAGGCGACCCCTGCGCTTCGACATTGATTCTCGAACTGCCGGTTTCGAGCGTTTGGCAGCCGGACATTTACTGGGCCTCCTGTCTGAAGTATAATTGGGGCCCGTGGTAGCTGCTGAAGTGCCACTTGCGACAGGCACTTGCGACAGACGTACGGAAGATTGTAGGCGGTCAATGTTGTTTTGCCGCACTGGGCCCGAACCAAGCCCAGACTAATAGGATGCCAACACCGTCAGGCAAGGCTTTTCCGTCGCAGCAAAAGACACAGCCCAGGACAACTCGCTGGCGGAATGGTATGGCGCTGGAGCCATGAACATCTATGAAGATGGACGAATTTATCGGTCTGTGCGTTCCGCAGCGAAGAAACGGGGTGTGTTGGATGCTTCTGTCGTTGACAAACTACCGGGCAAAGGTATTCATGGCCTCAGGCTTTCTGTCCTTAATATGTGCTCGTGACGGCATCCTTGCTTGCTTCCTGGGTTTACGCCGCTGTCATGTGCTACTCTCGGCACCGCAGACAGCTCAGGCTACAAACAAACACTGCGTTGCCCCATGAGTGGCTCGGATGCGCCCATTTTGTGCAGGGCAGTTCGAGATGCATTCTTTGGTGTCAGTTGTTTGCCCCAGTCTTTGCATCTGTGCGCCTGCTAACCCAGATTTCCAGCGCTTGCCGTTCGACAAGCAACAGTGCTTCGCCCTGTTGGGATCCTACTCCTGGGATCTTCACAATGTAACTTAGCTGCAAGCCTAAGCTACAGTTGTAGATGGAGTGCGCTTTGTCAAATGCACCTAATGTGGCTTGGGTGTTGAAGGAGCTTGGGTCTCTGCAGGATGCATTCCGAAATCTTTAGGACATAGGTCAGCCAAGGGTCCGATGCCCAGCGGTGTCTGCAGTTCCGGCCTGTCCAGCCTGGTCAGCACATCTCATGACGACCTCGGGTCTTGACCTTGCTAGAACTGATAAGGCACACTGCAGCAACTTAGGTAAATGCCTCTGCATTCAGCAACGGTGCAATCGTCGTGCCTGAAGGGCTCCTTGTCTTCTGAATGTGACGGTGCCAGACTTGCACGCGAGGTTAGAGCAAGTTGGACGAGCTTTCATTTTTGGCATGCGCTTCTGAATCAACATGGGTGACGCCACCTGTATCTGCAGCTCGAGGTACGACGGAACGACTGAGTGGCAACTGGAGGAGGCATGCCCGGAGCGAAAAGGTCGCTGACAGAGACGGTGTCGTTGTCAGTGCAGGCAACGTACGAGGTCACAACCGAGTGGTTTGGGGCAGGAGCTGACCGCAAAGGCGAGCATCCTGCGAGCTCGTGAGAGCGCGTAATCAAATCCGACTGTGCAAAGTCGCTCCAGTCGCTCCTCTGCGCCCAGAGGCTACAAGTACATCTGGGTGTACTTCAATCTGAATCGCCGCCCCAACTCCTTCCTGATGTTCGTTGTAGGCCGGGGCCACGAACCACGCAGTCGGCAAGAGGTGGAGGGGATGTTTCTCCTTGCAGCTGAGGCACTGCCATTTTGCTGCTTGGCAGCTGGGCCTTTCTCTGGAAGGGTCTTGGGAGTCAGAGCCCCCGAGGTTTGTCCTCGTTGCCTGGGCCGGCCTGCATGGGCCTCAGTTGAGATATTGAAAGGATGGGACATCTTGATCAGTACTTCCTGCTGTTGAGCTGGGCTTCTCAGGTTCATCGATCGGAAGGTGGCGCCAGCTCGAGTCACCATCGCAGTCATTCCTGTGTTGATCATGCTCAATCTGGAGAACAGTGCTTCTTGCCGAGGAAGATTCCAAAGGGAGCAGTTCCGAATAGAGCCCCGTGCCGATCCACTGTCTGATCTGGTCTGCCTCAGCCACTAAGGTTACATCCAGGCTGTCCTCTCCTTGGCCGTTTGCTTTGCGCATGACACACCGGCCGGTGGGAAGTTGAACTTGATGGAAACTCTTGCCGAATGACGAGGCCCGAGTTGAACTACTTGACCTGGCTGACGAGCTTCCTCTTCGTGATGAAACTGCAGAATGACTGCGTTATGCCTGCTCTGCTAAAGTAGGCCGTCGCTCTTGCAAGATGTCGGGGCAGCTGGTGTGAGGGAGCACATCTCAGGTTCGGATTGTCTTGTGTCTTTGAGTACGGCCTTGTGTGGCTGCTGCTGCAGGCAGGCTGAGACAAGATGAACATGCTTGCAGCTGTATGCTGTTGTATGCTATCATTACTGATCATTACTGACATCAGGTCGAGGCTGAAAGAGATCGTCAATTTGAAGTTGCCCGGCTGCACATCTCGACTCACAGCCAAATTCAAAGGCTTCAGACAGATGCAATCGGAACTTTCGTGAGCATGGTGCCGACAAGCTGCATCTAGGCAGTCATGAGTAAACTTTATTGCGATTACGTACATGTGGCGACGACCAGACCGAACGCTGGGGATTGGAGGCATTGACGCAGATGAGTACTATCATCAGCAAGCGATCTGCAGATCAAGAGGCAGGATGGGGTTCGGGAGGTCCGCATTTGGAGGACGTTTTCTTGTGCAAGAATGTCATGAGCGGCGATTGTGACTGAGTCTTTTTCCTGCTTCTGCTAGTCTCGCGCTTCTTGGGCAGGGCGTGCTCCACCATACTCAAGCTAATCCTGTGCAGTGTAGCGCAACGCTGAACTTTTTTGAGCCACTGGTCATCAATCCGATTTCTGCAGGGAGCCATGATTGCGGAACCGGAGTTCCACAACACGGAGCCGCTGTTCTGCCAGACGTTTGCACGGGCGGTAGTTGCCTGCAGACCACAAGTGCTTCAGTTCAACTCTGCATGTACCGAAACTACTGTAGAGCGTAGCTCAACTTTGGGAGGATCCGTTGGCTGTGTCCGTGTCTGCCTCCCGTCATCGCAAGAACCAGGCCGAATGCGCATGAACATGCCGATGACGTGTTGTCTCGACCTGCAGTTGTTCGAGTTGCGAGGTAGTCGTACCCACGCCACCAAAGAGCCAGCCAAGCGGGCGCCAAAGACGTCTTCACTGGGGGTCGTGGGATGTCATGGGGTGTGGTCGGGCTCTTCTGAGGTATGCTGATGCCAGCGGATGGCATCTGGACTGCACTTGGAGTTACGTAGCGACGTAGCCTGGGCGGTTCTTGAAGCCGAGGCCAAGTGCCTTTGCCGGACATGACAGCCGTCTTCAAGATCTTCGACTCGGACCCTCCTGCGGGGTGCAGGGCTATCGTACTGGGGTGCGTGGCAAGGCTAGTGGCCGGCACAGCGTCCAGAATCCAGAACTGAATATCAGACAAGCCCTGGGCCTCAACTGAAGCATCGGCACGGGAGCAGACCAGGATGGCGATGCTGACCTCAGTCTGACAGAAGTTCAAAAAGGGCTCCGACAGCTTGGGCAGCCACCAGTCAGCAAGCCAAGATCACTGTGCAACGAAGTTCACTTCCGAGCACAAGCCGTTTGCAGTGCCATGCAGTCCCGAAGTGATCGAAGTGTCTTCGACTACTGCAATGCACAATTCTGAGCCTGGAGATCCTTTGGGGAGGGACACCGGCGCCTCCCGAGTGGCCCCAAGGTATCTTTCGAAAGGTCAAGTTCAGGAGATGTTCTTGCGCCTGGGAGCAGAAGGGAATCTCGGTCTGCAAAGAAGCGATGCGCAATCATGTCTTGCAGGTTCCAAGGTTTTATAATGTAAGTGGGTCGGATGCCATTTCACAAGCAGATCGTTGTCCTCAATGCTCTAAGGAACAACATCCAGCAACCTCATTTCCGGAAGTTTCTGCTTGACGTCAAGAAATACCTGCCTGGAAAGCCGCTTGACTTGTCGGGATTGCTTCTGGGACTGTTGTCGCGTGTCTGCCGTCCGACATGTCCGACCGGGAGTGACGCCTATTCGCAAGTCGCGTTGTTCCACCCGACCCAATCGTCGGCTTTCGGCCAAGGGCTTGGAAGATCAGCTACACAGAGAAGCCGCCCTCTTTGCAGGCACGCGCTTTCCGAAGTATTAGCGATCGGGTGAGCTGGGCATTTTGCCGGGTAACTTCTAGCCATGCTCCATGACGATAGGCGAGTTCTGACATTCCTTGCTCCAGACGATCACATGGCACTCATCATTTGTAGATGTTGTGCACTGCAGCTACACCTCGTGGTGTAGCTTTGTGAGCCTTTGTCTCCCAACGAAGCTTCAACATGCCGATTGCCCATGAAGGTTGACCTGGCCTTCCGTCGCTTCGATTGCAAGTTGGACCACTCGTGAAGGGCGTTTTCTTTGCTCTATCGTGGCCTGAGAAGAGGGGAAAGCAGTGAAGCTTGGAAGGAGGGACATTAGAAGAAGACCTGTCATCACCCGAATAGGTACCGAACAATTCGAACAGTCATGCTCAGATCTGTTCAAACTTAACGACATCATTTTGTGGACTCAGAACGTGAAGTAGGCCATACATCGACATCTGGGGTTTCAAACGAAAGGCTGTTCCCCTTGCTTCCCCGATCCGGTAGTGCTCCGACTGTCGTGAGCGTTGCAAAACGCCCCCAAGGCTATCTCTACCTGTTCGGCGGCTGGGCTGCAAGTTTCGGCCAGAAAGTGTGCAGGTCGAACCGGCGGCAAGAGCTGATTCAGTGCTGCGTCCTCCGCTGTCCTCCCGTCTCGTATCAACTCACTTGTTCCGCCCCTTTATCGACTTGTGAATGAGCTGAAGGCGTTCTGCTTGTGACCATCATCTGGCTGGCGTACAGATGGGAGTGACGGCACATGCTTCTGGAGCTGTCAACTCCAAAGGACTGACTGCCAATTTCCTTTGGTAACATGGATGAAGGGATGGATGGATGGATGTACATATGTACGCACGCACGGATGCCTGCATGCGGGCATGGATGCACGGATGTAAGAATGTAAGGATCTATGGGTGGGCTACATACATTGACATGTATGAGAGCTATACTGCATGTCAACATGTACATATGTATATAAGCATGTATGTGTGCGTGTGCACTTGCGTGCTGACAGATCGACAGACAGGTAGGCAGATCAAATGCACAAGGCCGGCTAGTTGTCGGGTGAGCAAGGTCGCTAAACAGCTCTATCGGGATAGATGGACCGGCACCCGCTTGACTTCATGCCTGTTCTGACGAGAACATCGTCTTCTGATCGCTAGACACTCTGGACTTGTGAAACCAAACACGTAATTCCGGTCCCTGCAGCTGCAAGCAGGAGTTTGCTCTCCACGCAAGCAAGGTGTGCCTGAATGTCCGCGCCGCTCTTATTCTGATCACTGGCTTTGGGGATTCTGAGCATCGTTTTTTACATGCAAAGCAACGCCCCAGGCAGACTTGAGCTTCCGGGGTGGTGGCGAGTGTCTGCGCGACCTTGAATTGGAGATGTTATTTCCCTCCCTTCCACATTGAAGGCTAAGCCTTCGGTGGAGGGATGATGCCGGTTTTCCAGTCCACTTGCCGGTGTTTTTGAACGTCGGGTGGCCAAAGGTCTTCCCGAGTGTGCACACGGAATGTGCAGCGGCCGAAGCTTCGGCAACGCTCAGCAGAGCGCGGAAGCTACGCTGCGTCGCATGTGCCCGGGGTTTTTGGACCACGAAGCTTCCGGCTTGGCAGCTTCTAGAAGCAACTCTCTCAGCGAGTGCAGGGTTTAAACAGGATCTCCACCACTGAGCCCTCAGTCTAATGTATGCAGTAGACATGTAGATCCCGAAATGGGCTTGGGCGAACCTTAGTCACCGACAGAGTTGTCGTGTCTCGTGAAGCCTGGACATTCACCATTCGCATGGCCGTTGGCAGTAAGCACACTTCTTCCGTGCACGAACTGCATGGCTTGTGTCATCCAGATGTCACGTGATGTCACTGTTCTCTCCAATTTCATTTTCTTGTTTTTGTTCTGACGCGCGAGATTTGCGAAAGAGAGCGGCCTTTCTCGACAGCACTGGCTCAAGTTTGCCACCAAAGCGCATAAATACGTTTCGTCTCTATCGAGCTTTGGGGCTTCTAGCCCGGAGTCCCATAGCCAGGGACATGCTCAGTTTGGGGCCTCGTGACAGCAAGCATGAACATAGACTAATTTAGTGATGCTGGCTTGTAGCTGCCCGCTTCGGAGATGCAGTCGCATCGGCCTGAGATCTTGCGATTAGGACTGTCTTTGCCTCGAGTCATGAGACCGAATCTGGTGCGACCGTGAGTTTCTGCTGGAGGCTGCCCTCCTCGTCTGCCTGGCTGCCTCTGAGCGGCTCCCTGCCGCACCGGTTGACGCTTGGCGGCATTTCTCGGCGACAGCGAGGGAGCTCCGCGCGCCGAGCCCGAGCCACTGTAGGCCGCTGCAAAGTGGCATTGCTGCCTTCGAAGCAAACGACGAGGCGAGACGGTGAGTGGGCGCAGCCGAGAACCTGAAAACATCTGAGAACCCTGTCTTGCTTGGGGGGGGGTCCTTGCGTTTCCGATGCCAGGTTTCCAGCCCGCCCTCGGCCGAAGGCCTCGTCGTGACAACAGCGCAAGCTACAGTCGTAGTGACCACTAGCCCGGGATTTGACGCTGTGAGGTCGAGGATTCCGATGGCGAAGCATGGCGTGGAGTCCTGAGGCCTACTTGGGGGAAGTCTGAAGCAGCAGAAAGCTCTCTCGGGAACCGGGCAAGAGCGGCTGGTGCACCCGGCAGGTCTCGCCAAAGGAAAGCGCCGAAGCCAGCCCAGAAGGCTATCGCCAGAACTCTCAGAAATTAACAGAATGCTGCTGCATGCGCTTTTCCGTCAGGTGGTGCTTCTCCGAGCGCAGAGACTTCACCGACACTGCAGAGGAAAGCGGTGTCATCTTTACATGTGCAGATGGAGCACGTTCGCAGAATTGCCATTTTGACTCACGCTCTCTTTCGGCACAGCACCTTGTCTACCAGGAGTTTTTCGTCAGATTCGCCAGGCAGGCGAACAGGATGACATGTTGCATTCCTCCCATATGGCCTTTCTTTAAGTCACCTTAAGTTTTAAGAGAGACGACAAGGTGCTTGTATGACACTGCATGACATCTCAGCGAGGGCAGCGGATCCGGTATTGCCTTGCGCGGTCTGCGTGCACGACGACGTGGCAGCACCTGACTCACACGGAAGAATTCATAGCTAGCCAGGTTGGTCACCACCCGCGCACCGTTTCAGTGGGCCGCCCAGTTGCCACAGAAGCAGAGGGTTCCGAGAGAGACGCGCGCAGAGGTTGGAGTGCTGCGCCTTCTCCCACACGCATTTCGCCTGAAAAACCGCTCCGAGCTTAGAGAAAAATCAGTGGTGAAGCAGGTGCACAGTCAGCTCTTGAAGCTTTTGCAGACCCACCTCGTGTGGAAGGCATCACTTCGTCAGGGCTCAGCCACAGCACTAAAATGCTCAAAGATGGAATGTCCTCTTGAGGCATCCGGTGGCCCTGAATGCCGCTCTTTTTCTGCAGGTGCCCATGAAAGGGGGTAGGCCTTATTTCGAGATGAAAGGGGGTAGGCCTTATTTCGAGAGGAACATCGCCTCGGGGCATCGAGCTCTGAAACTCGTGGGAAATCAGGGCATGAGAACAGCTTGTTAAAGGACATTCTGAGAAAAAGAGCTTGTAATCAGCAGAATCTTGCCTTGGATCAGGCTTGGTGGCGTGGTACGCAGGCACATCTGCGATGTCAGCATCTGACTGACCCATCACGGGCGCTTCTCTTCTGCTGTGGGCTCGACATGAGCGCTTCTGTTCGTCATCCAGCATCCACGCGCGTCCAGCTCCTCTCAGATTCTCGCATAAGGCCCAAAAGGGCGGTTCCAAAGTGTGTTCTCGGAGTACTCCTTGGCCATAGCGTCACACTCTCTCTCGGTTAAGAGATGTTGAGAGCCTTCTGGCCGTCCATCGCTTCGCAGGTGCGAGCCGCGCGGCAGCATGCCGCATCCGTCCTGGCGGTGCGGTGGCGAGCCTGGAAGCAAGGTGTTGAGGACCTTCGGCTCTTATGAGCACTTGGCACTTGGCTGTGCATCGGAGCTCATACGCACCACGACGCTACGATGAATGGTTGGGGCGGGTACATGTGACTTCGGGCGTACAAGGGACTTGGGGGGCCCGGGGGGCCCTCAACTCTGAGCCGGCGCTCTGGCATTCTGATAGGGCCGATAGGGGCATGCCTGCGCTGTGAAGGAATGCTGGCTCCAGCGAGCAAGTAGTCTAAAGAGGCAAAGCGGGTTCAGTTCCTTGACGAGCATGGTGGTGTACAGTGATTCAACCACCAGGAAGTCGAGAATCAAGACTGCAGGACCGACGGCGACTGATGAAGCTCCAGTGGGCAATCCGATGGCTCCAAGAAGCTTGGCAACGGAAGGCCATAGTCAGAGATAATTGACAAGGTGATCGAGCTTGCATGTTGGACAAGTTGAGTGCTGCGCGCTCAAGCTGCCCAGCCTTGTTCAGGTGTCGGAGCAGCAAGCCGACATTTCCAGGTTGCAGGAGGAAAGCTGAAAGCAGACTCTGCAGAAAGTGAGGGCTTTCAGTGTCGATTCTGCTCAGTTGGCGGTGTCTTTGGCGGCCTGGAGTCCTGTGAGGAGCCACAGCCCGCCGATGAGGTTTGTCCACCTGCACACCAAGCTCTGCGCCAGGATTTGATGGGCAGTGTGGAGGGCATTTCATGCAAGACTCGCCCCCGACGTTTCGCGTTTAGGAGTTTGCATTTGATGGGTTGGGTCTACCAGAAAGGCCTTCGTGAAAGTATACTATTGTCCGGTTGGCTTGGTGTCTTCACGATAAGCTCAGCTCTTGGATTCGTCTCCTGGCGTATCATCTTGGCTTACCCGGCGCCGTGGTCAGCAACTGGATCCTGGTCTACGTAGATCTAATGGAGCAAGCAGAATTGCCCGAACATGTCTAGTCGCTGAGGTCCGTCTCATGAGAATACCCCTGTGAAACGTGAAGCTGTAACTCAACGATGCGGCCTGAGAATACAGAGCGCTTCGAGTATCTGACATGACATCATAGGGGCAGCGAGGAAGTGTTGTGCTAAGAGGGCTTAGATGGAGGATGATCGCCGCCGGACGTCTGGTGGTTGGAGAACTGCCTGTGCAACATCAGAACGTCACTGTGTTGTGTTTCCAATTTGTGGGAGTTTTTGAAAGGGTGCACGGTGTTGTGAGGTCACGCAAAAGCTAAAGTAGTCGCAGGCCTAGAATCCCTCAATCGTACAGATGACCCTGACCATTCTGATTGCAGGAGTGTCAGGCGCTGCCTGTGCTATTGCCGAAGGCAGGACTGTTGCCAACATGTGGAAACCCGATAACTCACAATCCTTGCGCCGCCCGCATGTTCCGGTGTGGCGCTACCAAGACCCTGTGCGAGGGTCAGAAGCCCCGCACTTCGCAGGTTGGCCTCTCAGAGGAAGTCCTGGCCGAGCAAATGCCTCTCAGCAGCTACGGCCGTGGGGTACAGAGAGGTGCCTTAGTCACCTGTCCGAAAGGTGCTCGAAGAAAGTCCCGGCACCTGAAGTGGTCGGCGGCTGTCCAGGCAATCTGAGCTCAGGAAGCTGGCATGAAGCTGAGCAGCTTTCGGAAGTTACCTAGGTCAATGCTAAAGCCAGACTGATCGAGTATCTAGCCCAAACTGGACCCACAACAGCGCAAGCGCTGCTTAAGCATCTGGTAGAGTTCAGTGGGGCTCAGATTCTTAGCTCTACTCATCTTGCATCTTGGGCGTTCTCCAGGTTTCAGGGAGGCTCAGATGCGTAGCACATTCTTTGCCAGGGATTGAACCAAGGACCATCGGCATTAAGGAGCTTGCAGATCCACTATGCCAAAGCACCTCAGATTCTTAATTCGGAGGTTTTCTGAGGTCTCCAGCTTGGGAACGAGCCCCAATAAGAGCCTACGCAGGGCTCAGATTCTTAATTCGAAGATCTCCAGCTCGTTCCCAAGCTCCTTCAACAAGATTCCGAGTTAAGAAAGTGCTCCAGATGTGGGCTCAAATTCTTAAGTCCAAGGCACCTTGACGCGGGTGGAGCAACAATCAGGGGCAGGAAAATTCAGCTCCCCAAATTCTTAAGCAATGAGTTCTTAACTAGTTCTTAACCAATGTTTCCGCTGAGTTCAGATCGAGCCGTTTTGCTGCTGGTCTGGTGATACTGTTGTGAATGCAGGGACCATCCGGTTGCGCTCTGCTCTTCGTGGTGCTGCTCGACGTAAGCTGCTTGGAGAAGTGGAGGACGGGAGAGTACGATGCCTTAAGCTTGTGACATAGTGTTGGCGGATTCGTGCATGTGCTGGAGGGCTGTTATTGCTGTGTCTGGCTGTGCCCCGCGTTGCCGAGACCCTGTAGCATGAGGTCTCCTCACCTCGCCCAGTGCGAGGATCGATCGAACCTGACGCGTGCACAAAGCCCATGGGGTCGGGCTTCCCAGCACGGAGGAGGGCAGAGAGCAGGGCAGCTTCAGGCGCCACGACTCCAAATCTGATGATGCACGATTGCCGATGTTTCCGCGATCCTGTGGCTATGTTTACCTTGAGTTTTTGGCGGTCCGTCACGTGATATAAGCTCAGGCACACGGAGTGTGGAAGGTCACAAACTCAATACTCCAGGCCTGACGCTCGGAAGCCAGACCAGCAAGATGACATGCCTAAATGGACGTAAATCGTAGCAAAGGCAATGAAGCAAAGGCCAGCGCAGCAGACAACGACTCTAGCTATCGCTCTTCGGCAGCACTCCTGCAGAGGCCGGAGCCCTCAAGGCCGACGGAAGAGCTGCGGTGGCGCTCTTACGAAATGCCTTGAACTGCCTTGCTTGTTGCACTTTCTGGGGATTGCAACGTGCAGTCATGTGCAGTCCGTGGCATTCCTTGGAAGCGTGCAGACACGCCGCTTTGCTCTGTGCTTTCAGCCTTTCGCTGAGGCTCACCGCCCACCTCTTTGGGCCCGACGCCTGAGCGGCGACGAGCTCATGAGGCAAGGAACGTCTGCTCGTGGCAAGCTGCTTTTTTAAGATGGAGCGAGTGCTGCCGACCCACTTGAATGTACACTACCGCTTCGCTTTGTGTTTGCCTGGGTTTAAGAGGCCTCAGAAGGGCCTTCGTGGGAACCTTCCCTCTGTTGACATCGCACTGCTTGCAAAGACACAAGCGGACAGAAGGGCTACTAGCCAATCGCACTTCGGCCTGCAAGACGTGAAACAGCCCGTGCAGAAAAAGGACACGACAAGAGATACATAGTGCGTCAGAGCAAGATGGACGAACATGATGAACTCCTCCGCTCCGGGCGGCGCTTGCTCCGGTTTCTGGATGCGACGCTCAGCAGAAACGATGGGAGGTCTGCTCACGGTGGGCCCCTTTCCCTCGGCGACATGAGTGTCGGGTTACGAGAATGCAATAACTTGAGGAACAATGATGGCCTCCTGTCGGTGGAGGAGTGCCAGCACCTCAAGGACCTTTCTGAAGTATGCAGCCGTTTGCATCTTGTAAACAGCTTTTCCTGCGCTGCTGCATGCTGCACTCAGCCCAGATTTATCATTGTCGTGCGATTGCTGCCGCAGGAGGATTCGTGGCTCTTTCCGAGTGAGGATGCATTCCTCGCGGTTCTGGATCCCTACGATAGACTCCTGGCTGTTCAGTCCCTCTCCGCATGCCTGGCTGACAGAATCCATGCCACAGGTTGTTGAGGATTCCTGCTGCAGCGTGTGCCCGAGGTGAGTTTCTGGATGCGGACGCCCTATGGCAGCTCCTCTCTGACAGGCCAATTTTCTACCAATGCGTGGCCTCAAGAAGCGAACGCTTTCCAGAGATTGTGGAATTACTATCAAGTTGCAGCACGGCGGTAGGCTGGAGGCGGATCCAGCTCAAGGGGAGGCACGGTGGGGAGTGCTTGAAATAGAGACGGTGAGATTCCTTTGACGTCGAGGAGTGGCTGAAAGGCCAACTCCCCTCCGTGAAGCGACTCTACTCGTCCGGGCCTCAATAGGAACAATAGGAACACTCTCGTAGCACATGAAGGACCTAAGTGCTTCCTCTGTCGACGAGCACGCTTGATCCCTGTGCGTGAGGAATCCAACAGCTCATGATACCTTCATCTCAGAATCATTTACGCACATAGGCTGTGGGACATAACCAGATCCGGATGCGGCACGCATGCCGAGCCAAACAGAAGGGGTTCTGGAGTGCAAAGTAATCCGCAGACGCGGATGTGCATGGCACTCGTAGAGCCGTTTCCAACTGAATGCAAAAAGCCAGTTCTGCAGGATGCGCAGGTCGCAGACGAAACTCATGGACAGTCCGAAGAGTGCTCGAGGCGAGCGTCTGCGTGTGTGTGTGTTTTCTGGGTCGGGGCATGGTAGTCGCTCGGAGATTCAAGCTGCAAGGAAGCCCAAGCCCTATGCGGAGCCCTCTGTCTTCGCGGAGTGCTTCGCGAAGCGCGTCACGGAACGGTTTCAAGCCGGCCTCCCTGGACGTCGCTTGGGAGGCCTCGGCCTGGGCCTGGGCAAGGGACCCCGAAGGCGCGCGCGCGCGCCCGCGCGCGCGAGACTCCGCTAGCCGCTAGATCCTAGACTCAGAGTCTACTCCGTGTCGCAGGAGTTCTGTCGAGAGTCTCGCCTGCAAGCAGAGTTCTTCTCAAAGTCCAGGCCGAGATCTCGAACCCTGTATCAAAACGAGAGAACTTCAAAGATATCAGCCGCCATGGCAATCCGATTATTCTTCCTGTTGCGAGTGTGCTCATCCATGCAAGGCTCTCCAGGTGGCAGATATCAACGCAGCTTTCTCAAAGCTCTGCTCCCTTCTACCAACTGACCTGCCTGAAAGTCTCAAGCTCAACTTGGGTGGGGCAGAACTTGTGATGCTCAGAGAGTCGGAACCACGCTATCACGCGTTCAGGCACTCCTGCACTGAGGCACCAGTGGTACGTCCGTTGTCCTTTACGAGAAGCTCATGGCCAGGTAGCGATGGCAGGGCATGCTGGGCCTTGAAGAATGTGGCTGCCCAGAGTACACTGCATACACCTGAAAGTGGCGAAGTCGCAGCTCCGTCCTTCAAGACGTGAAGCAAAGTCTGCCTGCTTGTAGGATGCCCTCCGTGTCCATTCCGCGCTTCGAGCGACAGAAGGATTCAGGCAGGCGTGACGGTTCGGTCGGGCTTCTTCTTCGACATGCGAGCTCACATGAAGATTGCTTCTCAAGCTGTCAGCATTCCCTTTCGTGCCTTTCGAGTAAATAACGCAGGACCGATTGTCCCGTCTGGCAGTACACGCAGCACCAAAGTTGCTTTGGCACCAGGTGGCTACCCACTCCATGATGCACACTTGGGTGTTGTCGGTGCCGCGGCCTTTTGCAGATAGTGAAGGCAGTGCTTTTTGTCGATGCTTTCGGACCTGCACATTGTGTTAAGATTGTTATGTCTGAGCCGTCTTCTCGAGACTTAGGGCATCTGCATGACATAGCTTGCTGTCGCTTGCAAAACAGCATGGCACTGATCTTCAACTGAGGTGCCGGGCCAATCGGGTTGAGGGCGGCTTTGGAACTGGCACTGCTTGGCGCAAAGGCACTTGAAGAGCTGAGCAGCTGTCCTGTGGGGTGTGTGAATGCCCTCACGTACGGCTCAAGGTTCAGGTCTTTGACGTTCGGGATGGCTTCTACCGCCAGCTTCCCAGGTTGCCATGTCATGGTCGCGGGGAGCTCCCCCAAACCTCAAGCGCAGGATCTAGGGCAAAGCGGCACGAGAGAACATGGGGAGGGCAAACAAAAGACTACCGTTCTCAATGGCAAGGTATGAATGTCTTGAAGTTATGGGACTGGGCTGCAGCTGATCTTCTGGACTTGGGAGCAAAGCACTTGCTCCCAAACTTTTTGACATACATCGCGCCTTGGACAAAGCAGACATTGCATGGCCGAGATTCCCAATCTCTGGCTTCGATCTGCCCGAGGACCACATCGGGATCCGCGAACTGCAGTCGCTGCTGCTGAAATTGGGCCTGCTTGCGGGAGTCCGCTACACCTGGAGTGCCAGCTTCAAGGACACCGACAAGCCACGAGAGCTGAGGGAGCAGCGAAACTGTTGGGTCGCTCTCTTCAAGCTTTGCCCCCGTCCTACTGCGTTTCATGTCGCGGCTATTCCAGGAGGTGTGCGCGCCCGGCTCCCAAGTCAAGCGACAAGGCTAGCAGCTAGACAGGTTCGTAGTGGTTGGAAGCCCATGAGGTCGCCCTCGAAAAAGTTTTTGCGCGTCACGACGCAGAGGGCATCGCTGGATTCGCTTGGGCAGCGGACTCTCGGAGCCTTGGCGGCCACTTCAGCGCTTCTCGGAGGCAGATAGAGGAGAGAACGTTTGAGTGGGAGGTGCCGAAGAGACCCACAGCCTGTCGGCCCTGGTTGCTTGTGATGGCGGCAACAGCAGGCCAGGCTCTCGCAGCCGTTTTTTTGTCGGAATTTGCCCCTGTGGAAGGGTCGCCGCACAGCTGGGCCTCCAGCGAGTTCGAGCTGATGGTCTCACAGAAGAGCCAGGCTAAAGTCCAAATGCCTTGAGGGGAGGGTACTGCCGTTGCGGTTTCTCAATTGTAGATGCCTTGAAGGCTGGGAGTTCGCAGTGGCCCCTTGTCCAGCAGACTATGCGAATTTAGCTGCTTGCATAGCCTGCCAGTCGCGCATTTCTCAAAGTGACAGGCCCAGCAGTGGATCCAGGTGTTGTTCAACTGATTGTTGCTGCAGCAGCAAAACGAAGCCACGCACGAGGTTGCCAACTTCGAGAATTTGATGGAGCCGGACGATCGCTTATTGGAAGAGTGCCCTTCGACTGCAGGGATTGCAGTTGTAGCTTTTGTCAGCGAGGTGCCGACCGGAATCTTGCGTGACTGCGGGGAAGGTGATGTAGGCATGTGCTTCGTCAGCTTACCGGGGCATGACCGACGGAAAAATCCTTTCGCATAACTTTTTCTGCACATCCAGGCCCACGCGGTTTCTCTGAAGAGGAGTTGTCGCTGGTGAAGAGGCTCATCTATCTCCAAGGCTCGCGCAGCAGTGCACCTGCTAGGCTGAAGGCAGGGCTTCCTGACAACAGCATGCCCATACTGTCGGATTGCTGTCGCGAGCGGTGCCAGTACCAGACTTCGTGCCGTCGGAGAAAGCAGAACATCAAACCGATTGGGTTGGAAGAGTGTCCGGGAGTGTTCTGCCTGGAAGTGTGGCACACTGCATGCATTGACGAGAGTCGATGGACCTATGCCGGCTTGGGTAGAGCCTGTGCAAGATGCATAAATGTGGCTACAGCTGGTGTCGCACCCGCATCAGGATGTCTGCAAGGGTGGAGACTCAGCAATGGACACCGTTCGACATTTAGACTAGTTTCCCGCCTTTGACGGGTTGCTTTCGACAGAAATCGATGCATTCATGACAGCTACACTCTAGACTTGACGCTCTCTGCAGGCGAGACCCATTACTTCATCATGACAGTGGAACCCGAAGTGCTGGCGGAACATGGTGTGCTGCGCAATGGTTCCCTCAAGGGGAAGGCGCGACTCCAGAATGCTCCAGACCTTACAGTGCTGTGCTGTACACGGCATCATTCCAGAAGCTTCTTCTGCGCTGGTGGACAGGACCTCCTGTCTGTCGAAAACGTTGATATGAAGAAACTCGAGGACAGCGGGATGCGGAAACTGTCGACAAGTCGCTGCACCTGACCTGTGCTCTACTTTCATGTGCGACCTGCGCGGCCGCGTAGATCCTACCTGGATTCAAAGAAGGACTTCGCCCGCATCGTGGTTGAAGAGTACTCGAAGAAGGCTCACAAGCTTTTGTAACGGTGGAATTCCCTCTCTCAATTTGGCAGGTGCAGAGTGCTGGAGTGTAGAGAGCAAGAGCGTACTGGGTGCAGTGTAGGTTGGTTGGTAAACCCTTCGGAGGTTCGTTCGCTGGGGGACATCTTCAGCGTTGAGATCCCAGAAGACTTCTGGACGACGAGGCTCCCAGCAGAAGGGCCGTCAGTGTCTAGGAGCAGGGCCCAAGCACAGTATGTGGACGCCGCGTGACAAAGGGCGATTGCTTTGGACCCTCGTGGCCGGCCGGCGCTCTCGGCCTTCGCGCAACCGAGCAGCAACTGACTTTCCATCTACTTTGCAGCTACTTGCCTTGCTTTTTGCAGCCCTGTCCGACGACACAGAACTGCGAGCTAGACGTCTGAAATAATGAACGGGACATAGCTTAGCCGTGCAGTCCGTGCACGGTGAACATCTGCTGGGGTCAAGGGTAAGCCAATTCGTGCAGAATTCACCGTGGAGTTCGTCCAGGCCCTTGCATGAAGTGCCTTCGTACTGTTTTGCTTTCACTTGAGTTTGCATACATAGCTTTGCCCTGCTCCAGTTTCGACACGGTCGCTTCGGTCTTGTCTAAAGTTACAGGGGCATGCTATGCCAGATGCATTGGAGTGGGGTTGATCATTCAATCGCGCACTCACTGCAACCGTTGCACAAGCCAGGGATCATGCCAAGAACCAGCTGCATGTAGGATATTGGCCCAAATAATCCGCTTGACAACAAAGGGAAATCAGTCAGATATCCCATGCAGATGTATGCTTGGCCCATTCAGGTCTTGACTCTCCGCAGTGTCACTGTCAGCTTATCCGGGCGAGCTTCCTGCCATTTCGCGCAGCACAACACCAGCTGATGCCCAGGTACCACGCAAACCTGACATGGCTTTCGCAGCCCATTTACCTTTTTGCAACTCGGACCTGATGAGAAGAAGAAGAGCATGCTCAAGCGGCGAGGGTGTCGCACTTTGAATGCGCAAGCGCTTGGTCTCCTTGCGAAACCATCCCAGGACGGCTTTGAGCGGGAGCTCCCGGTATTCTTTGCTGGCGATGCGCTGCGCGAGCCTTTCTGGCCTTATGGCGAAGGCAAGAGACTACTGGATAAGTTTCAGGACGAAGCCTGGCAAGACCGTCTTGCCCAGAGCATGTGCGTACACAGCTAGTGGGCTCTCTCTAGTCATGAAAGGCTTCATGCTCTCTGCGGAGGCTGCAGCCGCGGCTTCATGGGAGCCTTCGATACCATCTGGGCTGTGAGGCCTTTACAAGTAGCTCTTGATGTGCTGTGCCTGGCCAAGCCGATTCGCGGAGCCGGCACATCCGGCAACGCCGATGCAGGTCTTGGGCAGCTGGTTTGCGAGGGGAGAAGCTTCGAAGCGGCCCAGCATTGAAACTTGTACGATCGAAAACATGAACAACTCGTCGAAGAACTGCTTGAGGCCTGCGAAAGAAACTCTTCGACTTGGCTTCGAAGGCTGTTGCTTCTTCAGCAGTTGTGGCGACGGATTCAGTGAGGACGATGGCTGCCTTTGTCAGGTGGACCCCGTCACGAAGGGCAAGGACGTGCTCCTGCCCTACGAGCGGCCGGTTCCTTTCGCCGGCCTCAGCTTCCTCCGCGCCTGGACTTAAACTTAGCCACAGCCACGGCTTTCCTCCAACGAGCTGTGGAGTAGTCCATGCTCCGGAGGTGGATTTAAGCAGCTCTCCTGGCCTGCCTGGGGCTTTGACGGCCGCAAGCGGCCGACGAGTTTCGACTACACCGTGGACCCAACGACGAGGCACAGCGCTCTCCGTGGGCTGCCTCCCCTCTTCGAAGCTTGTCCATGTGTGAGGTATCGTGTTTACGAGGACGAAGAGCCCAATGAGCCAGAGTCGAGTGAGTCGATCTATTCGAGTGAGACGGCAAAGGTGAAGTGTACGCTCTGCAATTGGTGACAAGGGCCGGCAGGCCAGCAAAGTGTGCTTTGTAGTCTTCGACACTGCAGGCTTTAGGCTTCATGACACCATGATGGTGAAGACTCAGATCCGTAGGCTGGGGCCCGGGGGACTGCCATCGGAAGCACTAGACTCTCTTCGAGGTTGACACGTTCATGAATAGCTAAGGACCTTGTAGATCCTGGACCGTGACTAGTCGAAAAACATTGGCATATAGTCTGCTGCAGGTATAAGAAGTCAATGCAGGATGTGACCTCAGAGGATTCTGCATGTTACCTCCAGGTAAGCCCAAGAAACAGACGTGAATGTGGAGCGTTGAGTGCGCAGTAGCGTGCGCAGACGTCGGATCAGTCGGGAGCTGCGTCAGCTTGTTTTAGTTCAAGGGGCACGATCAGGCTGCATCAATAAACAGAGTGGGTAGTTGAGATGGAGTCTGCAAAAAACCACATGTGCAGTGCTTGCATCCTGAATCCTGCCCCTTGGCAATAATTACTCGTAGGCATAGGCTTAGCCGGGTCTCAGACCCTGCGAAAGGAGCCCCATCATTGCACCTCAGGCGTTGGCACGAGGGAGATTTTAGGCCCTGACCCGGTGCAGAGCTGGTGCTCCTGTTCATATTTTTTCTTTGCAGTGCCAAGGTGTGCTGCAGGCAGTCAGTGGCCCTCGTGAGTCCAGTATTATGTGCTAGTCTCTGGAAGAGCTCCTTCAGCCCTCTGCCTCAGATTGGAGCACGTTGCTCGCATAGCTTTGGGAAGTGTGCGGAGAGATCTTCCACCTGACCTCTGTCGCTTCCTAAAGGCAATGAGCCCATCTGGCAGCCTTCCGCAATGTTGTGTTTTGTTTCGGGCCGCTTCATTTTGCAGGACGGCGTGATGTTGCATCCCCCAGCAGCATGATAGGTCTCTAGCAGCTCCCCTCAAGAGTTGCTCAGAAGGGAGCCTGTTCGCCAAGATGACAATGCAGGGAATGCACCAGGATGTTCTCGTGAAAAGTGGTCTCAAGCTCTAGGAATTGACGGTCTTTGCTGCTGTGCCCTGCACGGGCACAGTGGCATACCAACCGAGCAACTGAGTCGATCTCGCCAGAAGCCTCTGGCAAGTCCTAGCTTTTGCATCTCGCGCCGATTCCTGAACGCCCAAGTCGGTGGGTGGCGGTCGGTCTCTGAGGACCCCACAATGGGGAAGCGGACATTCCTCCGCCGGGGACCCCCCTCCGCCTCGCAAGCCGAGCATGGACAGGACACACGTTCCACTTCCACTCGAGGCGTCTGTGCCGGCATGAAAAGCTTGAAGGGCCGACAAGATATTGCACATCACACGGGCACGTGACACGACGTGACAAACTTGCCCTCCTAAGATTCGATGTGATTAATTCCGCCAGACTTCGCCGCGCAGCCGTCGAGAATCTGCGGTTCCTCCAGCAGAGGCCAGGCTTCGACCAGATCTCAGCGACAGAGTGCGCTCGCATCACCTCACACAGAAGACAAACTTCGAAACCAGCCAACTCCGCTCCTAGTCTTAGACACCTAACTTTCAAGGTTCGGGAGTTCAGTTGTGCTCTTGTTAGGGGTGATAAGGCGTGACCTTTCGTTTGTGCAGTCGCCAAACCTGCGCTTGGAGACGGGTGCCTTGATCCTCTCAGAGTTGCTGGGACAAGGACTCTGCTTGTTGCGATGTTTTCTGTTTCAGAGCTCCGCACCTCTATGAACTCAAGGACTGCTACTGCCCGAGCGGCCCCTGTCTGTGGATGCCGATGAGGCGTGGTGCTGGTGCTGCTGCCATCCTGCCTTGGCAGACGCAGCCCTCTTCTGCCGAGGCTTCAGAACCCTTCCACCGCGCTCTGCATGAGCTTTCGGCGCGGCTCCCGCCAGGGGCACGCATCGGCGGCTCGCCTGAGCATGCGAAACTTGAGGGACTCTGCCATTTTCAGCCTGCATCAAGGCTTCACAGCACGAGTCTCTGGTCTTGCTGGGGTGGCAGCCGCGGCGTACAGCGCAGCCTCAGCCTGAGTTTGAACGCATCACATTGATGCGAGTGATCCCGTGTGTGGCAATGCTTCTTTCAGGTCCGCGAGACCTTGGGTCCGGAGCGACTTTGTCGATGCTACAATGCTACATTGAAGCTAAGTGAACCGCGGCAACACTTCTCTCAGTAGACTTCGAGAGTCCAGATTGGAGAACTGGCAGGAGCGATTCCTTTGGCATGGAACTGCTTGGGAATGTGTGCCCAACATCGTGTTTGCGGCTCAGCCGCTGCATCTTGCAGTTCGCTGCGTGAGTCTGCTACCCGAATCAGCAGTGCCTCGAGCTCTATTCCTCCAAAGTTTGTAGAATCTTCTTCACAGACACGGCAGTCTTTCGTAGAAGTTTTCCCCAGCAAGCTGCTGGAAGCTTTGATGTGCATTGTCTCCTTGGAACAGCATTTTTGAACCGTGCAGGCGTCATGGGTTCAATCGGGCATATGCCTTCAACGCCAGGCAGCCGGGGAAAACAAGTCTGTCAGTTGGCTTTGTGGATCCATTGCCTGGTGAAGCCTCGAAGTGCTCTATAGCCATGTGACAGGCATGGCTCCAAGCTGGGACGCGGCGTCTACTTCGCAGAAGATCCGGCCGGAGCTGCCATTCCAGACTCACGGTGAACAGTTGTAGTTGTACTACTACCACTACTACTACTACTACTCCTACTACTACGACGACTACTACTACTACTACTACACTATGGTAACTACTACTACTACTACTACTACTACACTATGGTGACGAATACTGTTATTCCTACTTCCCGCTGTTATCTTTATCTAGTTGTCCATGTTGATGTACTGTGCCACAAGTCGCTGCTCGCAGGAGCGGCTGCGATTGCAGATCAAGCATGAGCTTTAGCCCTGTATCGTCAGCCGGCTCTAGCATCTGGCAGCAGTATAGTAGTAGTCATAGTAGCAGTAGCAGTAGTAGTAGGAGTAGTAGTAACTTAGTAGTAGTAGTAGTAGTAGTAGTAGTAGTAGTAGCAGTGGTAGTAGTAGTAGTAGTAGTAGTAGTAGTAGTAGACTATATACACAGTAGAATGATACGTGGTGGGAACCGTATACATGCAGACATACCGGCGGGCAGGCAGGCCAGCCAGGCAGGAAGGCAGGTACGCAGGCAGGCAGAGCGACAGACATACATGCATAGTGTGTTCTTGCCTGTATATATATATATATACGTACATGTATATGTACATATGTATATATATATATATATGCATCATTATGCATCCATGTAGCCATGTATTTATGTATGTTTTCATATATACGTCTGTTTGCTGTATGCCTGTACATCTCTATGTCTGTGCGTTTGTATGTCTGTCTGCATGTCTGTTAGGAGCGACATTCCTGGAGTAATTTTAAGAAGACGCTATGCTTCAGCTCCTGGCTCACCTCTCGGCCTTCAGAAGCGCTAGGCGTATGCACTACGCTTTGCGGGACGCACCCAGTCCAGCCGTGCACTGCTGTTGGCTGGGGTGCTGCCTGGACCTTGGAGGCTTTGCCTTTCAGGCCACATGGATGTTCCGGACGAGTGCAGAGTCAAGGTGTATCTCTCAAAATAACGTAGGGGGATAATGTTCCTTTTCTGGCATCCCGTCATGTCCACGGGCTTCTTCAGGCCTGGCCACTTCACTCGCGGCAAGGTGCGGGGACTGGAGTGTCAAAAAGCAGGCTTCTGAAGATGATGGATTATGGACATTGTCCAAAAAAAGAAGCCGCACAGATACACTGCACCGAAAACTCCAGCAGCAACATATGTGTTGTCCAGTGGATTTTGAACATGGCCTTGTGGATTTTGATTTTTGGCCCTCGCGTGCAAAGCTTCCGCAGGAGGGTCTTCTGGAACCCCCGCGCTGTGACTCTTCTGGCAAGAGATTCGATGCTACGGCCGACGATGCGCAGAGGCTCAGAAAACCTGAACCCCACCTGGCCGCCTAGCCCTCTTCCCGAAAAGGCTGCAGAATCCGATCGGGTTGCAAACCAACGTTCCATTCGTTGAGCTGACAGGCCAAGGGTCTTCTGCGTCTTCAAGGACTTTCAAGCGTTGCCTCTCTATCTCATCCAGGCCGCCAGATGACTAGTTCTGACGAGCCATGAGCCTGGCCTGAGCTGGAAAGGTCATGGTTGCGTCCTGACAAGCGGGAGGCTGGGGCAGGGACTGTGATCAGCTGCAGGGCTGTGCTTCGGCGGCGTCACCGCAACGAGGGAGCTTCTGCGGCTGCACTTTTGCCAGTTTGCAGGGCCTGGGCCTGGACTCGGACTGAGAGCGACAAGGAGACCGGACATGTTGCTGCGAAGCAATCCTTCAAGTGAATGTGTGTCGAAGCTAATAGCTACTTTGATGATTTACGCCGGAAACCTGCAAACACTCGTGAGACAGCGAGGTACCAGTAGCTAGGAGCAGGAATCCATCTACAGGCGGGACCTGCATAGGCACGAGCAGAGGCATCACAAGTATGCCCTTCACCTTCGGCAGGTCGGTGGAGCCGTCTGATGTCAAGATGTCATGCAGAGAATTTCAAGTCAGGAGTGCATAGAAGTCGCAATCGTGGATTTTATCCTTTGCACGCCGGCACCATGTACTGAACGTTTTTCGTGCATCAGAACTCTACCTGCGGCGTCGCCGAACGTTAACGAAGCATTGCTTGCTTTTACCATAGCCTGAGAGCTGCCACCAGCTTCAAGAGCTTCGGCAGGCTGAGTCAGTCGGCATGCGTTTCAGTACATGCAGCTCATGTGTCGGAGTATTCTCATTGATCTTTGCTGCTCGAGATCTGGAAGTGCGGAGTCAGCCCGGAGACACACTCCAGAAGGTCTTGGATGTCCGATTCCAATCTGCCAGCCGACTGCTTTCTTCAAGTGTGATTGAGGCTACTGGCACCACGAAATGCCTTTGTCCCCGGTTGCAAAGCCTCAACCGGGATCTGTGGCACACCAGTCGGGCACTGGGAGCGTGCGCCTCGCGAGAAACTGGCACCTTCATCACTGGATCTTGTCTTGTGCTTTTCTCCATCTTGTGCAAACACTCAATCATCCATCCCACTTGGTAACTCCTCTTCCTTGTGGCCTTTGTCGGCACTGCAAGCATATAATTCTCCTTAATGCACCACTCGTTGTTTCAGCTAGCCAGCTACGTTTATACTTCCCTGCCTCTTCACGTGTGCACTGGCCGTTCATAGCCAACTCCAGCTCTTCGTTTGCAGGATGCGCCTTCATAGAACGGCTTCGAGGTAGCTATCGCAAGCTACGAGCACCCACAAAACCGGCGACTGAACCCACGATAAAGAAACGAGAGACACCCCGGATGCGGATCCGCGTGTAGGCCATGTGTACTCTGCATTCTACCAAGCCACAACGATGACATAACTCCTCAAGTGTCAACTGGCCGCTGTCACCGACGCGGCGCTGTGACTATGCCGGGGAAACATCGGGCAGCTTGACTGCAAGGGTGCATTTGCTGTGGCCTCAACCTGCTTTGTGAATCTGTCCCCCTTCATACTCTGTGCGCTGAGGGCCTCTAGAGTTTTCGAAAAACCCGTGTCGCGGGATTTTTCCTCTTCTGGGGACGCAGCTGAGGCCCACAAGCCTGCCAGCCGCGGTGGGATCTGGACACATCGGTTTTCATGGAGTCGGCAGTCGTCTAGGTCCTGGTCTTCTTTTCAAGTTCCATGTCACCTACGGTGAGAAGGTGTCGGACTGCAGTCAGCCTCATGCTTGGAGATCCTTCATAGGCCGATAAGGTGGACTGCACCGGATGCAGATCGACCAGTACTGCGCCACTCCGTTTCGCCCTCTCCCCGCAAGGATTGCTGCAGCTGCAGCGCGCCGTGCAGCCACCGCACCCAGCTCAAGAGCCAGAGAACACGAATCAAGCAGCAACAAAATCTCAAAACCAGGCGTGTCTCGGTCGCCGTCAGGCTGCCCGCCCTGGTGAAACGCCCCTCCAAGCCGCGCTCCAGGCGGCAAAGGCACCAGCTGAGAAGAACGGATGCCGTTATCCTGCTCAAGGTAGTAGTAGTCCGAAGTACTTCAATGTCGCGCGTGTCTTGCACTCGTGTGCGTCCCTTGTTTGTCGCGAGAGGCATGCTGGAAGAGGGCAGAGGCTTGGCTGGCTTTCGACAGATCTGTCAGCAGCTCGAAGCCAAGAAGGAGGGAATTTGGGCAGAATCTTCTGCGCATGGAACAATGTCTCGTGAATTCTAGGCCCTGGACAATCAAATCTAAGCTCCCAGCAGGAAGCCTTGGCCCCAGCTCGTGCCTCAAGCAGAATCCCGACCAGGCGGAGAGACGGGCCCGCCGACGTGCAAAAAGGGGAGCAAAGCCCAAGCCGAGGCTGCGGGCAGTTTCTGCCGTCTGAAACTGGATTTTTGCAAACTGTAAGTTATTGGCGAACGTGTTGATAGCTACGCGACACGTAGTGAAAGACGTATGCGGAGACTGTGACATCTGATACGTTTTGTACCTCCGTAAGATCTCATAGTGCAGGGATTACATGCCTCCACATGGGGTGAAGGGTCGCTGGCGTCTTCAATGTAGTCATTAGGAACATCCGTAAAACCCTAGGCAACCAACGACGATCTAGGGTTCTATCCACATTCTAAAGGACAACTGGACTTTCCCCCAAAATGAAGACCCAAGTGACCCAGGGGCCCTCCGCAGCTGCTAAGTTTACACCGCAATCATGTCACGCTGTCATGCATTGTATACGATCTGCCGTCATTATGCTGATAACTGACCCATTGATCGAGGACGAAGGCCCCGCCCGAGCAAAGTGTGGAGGCGGGTGCCATCGTCATCCAGGCCCAGGCTGGTTGAGTGCCACACGTTCATCCGGGCTGGGGACTGATGGATGCGATCGCAGTTTGCGGTAAGCGTCGCCCGCCAGCCAGACCCTGCAGCATCTGTCCTGTGCCACCAGCCCTTGAACAAGATGAAAACGATTCGCGGGTTTTTTGCACAGATGAAGTGTGAGAACTGGAACCAATCGCCTGCCAAGGCACAGGCCAAGCTTGCAAACTCTTATGTGACAGCTGATACCCTGCATTCCCAAGCAGCATCCTCTCGCGACTGGCGACTTTGCATGATGCTGGGCGGAGGCAGAGCACCTCGCACACGAGGCAGCTGCATGTAAGGAGGTCGGCACCCCAGTTGTGCAGCAGCAGAGGCCGAGGCTGCATGCAATGAGCCTTCAAATCTCGATGTTCTTGTCTCTCCATCTGCATCTATCTTTTTCTGACTCTCTATTGACTAGCTCTAGCTCTCTCTCTCTCTCTCTCTCTCTCTCGCTCTCTCCCTGAGTCTATCTCTCTCGGTCCCTTTTGTTCTCTCTCTTTCTCTCTCTCGCTCTTTCGCTCTTTCAGGCTATGCCTGCCTGAGGCTTGGGATGCGAGGGCAGCAGTTCGACTCCTTCGGCAGTCCGCTGCATTGATGGAGCGACTTGCGCTTAAAATATGATGAGTTCCGAATATAGGGGACCCCAATATAGTACCCTATTTAGTAGGATCCTTATTATAAGGACCCCAAAATAAGGACCCCTTGTTTTCGGAAACTCCCATATGATGACAGCTTGTGTGTTGTGGGGTCCAAGTCTTACGATTATGGAATTAGAAGTTCGAAGCTCGCTGCACATAATAAGTTCCGAGCATAAGCTTCTTCAGAAATGCTCTCACGACCCGCTTGGAGCCCAGTCAATCGAGGAAACAGGAGTTCCTGAGTCTGCCTTGCACAGTGCCGGGGATACCGTTTGGGTGAACAGTTGCCTGGAACCCCAACCGACCATTTTCTGAAACACCAAGTTTGCGATGTGCTCAGAAGTTAGATGCAACTATTTCAGGGCACAGCTCACCAACGGGTTGCGACACAGACAAAAGTGAGCCAAATTCGTAGTGTCAAGAGGAATTCTCGTGGGTCTGTTTGCGTAAGGTCTGCAAACGCTGCGAGGCACAGCTTGTGCTTTTGGTTGAAGACCGGAAGCGGGTGATGCAGCTTCAGATGATCTCACGATATCACTGCTCCCTGCAAAACTTGCTGCATTGCAAAGATTGCATTCAGTACCTTATCATGCTTCCGGGACGATCATCGGCCGGAGACGGACGAGCAACCGGCACATCAACTCAAAGTTGACGTGAAGGATCTCACATCGGATCCTGTTCTGCGAAGCTTTTGCACTTTACCTGACCTTAACCATGCCATGCCACTCCAGTCATCCGGCCAAAAATTCTGCCGGAGTGAGGATGCGGCCCTAGCAGTTGCCCGAATCCCCTGTCCTTTACAGGAAGCAGCTGCGAAGGGCGGCCAACGAGGTGCTGCAGGCTCGTCTGAAGTTTTGCAGTTTGTACGACCTGCGAGCTTCCGGCATGTTTGCAGCACATCAGCAAACGTGACAAAACAACTGCATCGTTTGAGTATTTGCAGTGATTGGGAGCATGGAGCGTTTCTTACAACTCTTCTTGACAATAAGTGAACCGTTTGCAGGTCCTCGACGTGGAGGATCCCAAGACACGCAGCCTCGTCGGCGATGCCTTGCGCACGCAGTTCTCCCGGCATTAAGGTTTAAGCACCATTGTCTTTGAGCACCATGGTCCGTAATCGCGTTTCTTCGCCGGTTGGGTGCCAAATCAATCATGGGGCGACAAACCTTTAGCCTTTCTAGTCGACCTTAGCCGAGGTTTGGCGTGCAGTGACGGTGGAGCCTCGGAAAAACCTCCGCTTTGAGTTTACACAATTCCGCGGATCTCCTAGTGTCTGGCCGTACGCTCAAGAGAGCCTCGCCCAAGAACTCTTTGAAAGTCCAGGTATGCGCAAGCTCCAAGAGAAGCCGCCCATCCAAGAAGCATCGAAACCAAAGATAGACCGGCATGCGAATGCTGACAGAGACTTGAACTCTCGATGTCTGCAGCTGTTTCATGTTCCGTTCTCATGAGGAGAATCCACCACGCACTATCAGACAAGTCGGAACTTCCTTTGCATCAGCTTTCAAGCAGTCAAAGAAGAGCAAGAGCTGCTTGCGTGCGAGTCCCGATGCATTTTTGACCTCTTTTTGCTGTGGCGCCGATGATCTCGAGCTCTCCCGGATATCGAGTGAGGAGCTTGGCAGCGGCGAAGCACTGCAGGGCAAGTGAGAACCCAGATTTGGATAACCAAGTGCTAGTGACTCAGTAGCAATCCTTCGCTCAGGTCGCACCCGGTGTGGCGCCTGGTACATTGCGCCCCATCGAGACTTGGCTGCAGGTTCAGGGGGATGATCGTGAGGCAGCCTATTCCCGCTCATCGCATCCCTCATGTCCTTGACAGGAGCGGATGATGTCCATGCCGACGTGCAAGTGACGCCCAGCTACAACTAGGTCACCAGGTAATTGTTAGAGAACCAGATTAGGGTTCTAGCCTCGGCTGGCATGCCATGCATACTGGTCACAACTGATGCTCTTTCGCCTAGATGCCTCGCAAGCATCTCCAAAGCCTCTGCACCGAGCAGTGGTCGCTCCGGCCGCTTGGACCAGCAACTGCGAGAGGAAGCAGAGAGAGTCTAGCATTCTAAATTTCACAGATGCTTTCGATGCTCAACATGCAGCAGCTCGCACAAGGGCGGGACCGAGCAGCAAAACTGCAGGATTGCAGCTTGCTCTGTGCTGTTGGCTGAGAAGACTAAAGGTGCATTCTGGCGCCGATGCCACGCGCCAGCCTCAGCCAGCGACGTTTAGCTTCCTGGGGTACGGTAGCCCAGTCGTGGGTGGTTGACAAAGCCTCTGTCTGCAAGTTTACACAACTTGCATGCCTCATCGATGCTTCAGTTTTGTTTTGCTGTCAGATGCAGCAGCTCGGTGTTGTGGCATGGCCATGATGCGAAGGTCGTGTGCAGTTGTGTTTTCTTTTCTCTAGACTTCTCTGTTTAGCAACTCGTGCGCCTTCGCACATCTCCGCTGTATGGTGCCTTGTATTCACAGTCGCAACTCCTCACATCCTCCTTCACTCAAAATCGATGTGAATACAAAAGTAGAAAGACAACGCCGTATGTAGCAGAGATTAGCATAACGCTGCAAGTGCTTTTACGACACGGTTTTGGGCTTGCAGATTGTAGGCTCGAAGCTGAAAGAACTTGAGCAGCACCCCGACCTGCACACATCGCTTGTGCACACGGCTGCAATGCCAACTCTGCCAGCATGATGACAGAAGCATGTCCTGCTGCGTCCGGTGAGGGCTCGATCGAATTTGCCACCCTCCGCAACGGCAAACTGGGTGGCGTGCCCTGGCCATGCAGGAGGATGTGACTTTGAATCTGCTTTCTTGTCATCTATCTGCACACTAGAAGCTGGCGCTGAAGGTATCCAAGTCCTCGCGTCGCAGCGCATCCGGCGCTCTCGTCCACTGCCAGGCCTGATGGACAACGGAAGGGCAACGATTTTTTCAGAAAAGGCGTGAGCAGTACCTGCGAGCGTCTTCAGGTCGCAGCTCCATCCGATGGTCTCGCCTCGGATACCAGAGGCCCAGGTGGCGCAGGCACAGGCGGCGCAGGGCTTCACGTCGGCTCCGCGGTGGCTCCTTCATGCTCCGAAAAGGGGGCCCTGCAGGTGTCCGGACTCGCCGTGGACCTGTTGAGCCGCTCTCGAGAGGCCGAGGTTCTCCCCTGTGACTGTGCCCCGCGGCTCCCTTCCCTCCTTCGAAGGCCTTCATCGTCTGCAGCGGTTCGGGTCCGGCGCGCTCCACAGTGGCAGCAGGCGCTGGGCGCTTCTGTTGCTTCTATGGCGCTTTTCGCTTGGCATTGGCTGAAGTTCCTTCAGGTCACTTCGGCGCCTCGCCCCCGACCTCGCCGCGCTTCGATGCTCCACAGCCACAGTCGCCCAGGCAAGGAGAACGCCTCTGGCTCTGCCTGTTTAATTAAAGGAATTCTCCGACAGGTTGACGGCACATGCTCGGCCCGGGCAGCAGGCCAGGCAGCCGCTGAGCAGCTGTGGGGTTGCGGCGGGTTCTCGCTTCCTGGGCTTTGAGCTGAGAAGGCCACGGCCACGGCGCCCCCGCGGCCTTCGCCTTCGCCTTCGGGGCCTGGGCCTTCGCTCTGGGAACAGCTGCGGCCTCGGCGGCGGTCGAAGGGCGACGCGCAGGCGCACGCACACGCGCGCGCGCGCTTTGTGTGTGCTTGGGCCGGAGAGGCCGTCAGAGACCTACTGGAGTGCGCCCTTTCAAAGAATACGCACATGCGCAGAGATAACTCTCCTGTGCGCGTGTCATGCGAAGCCTTCCGAGGCATGTTAATCTTCTCAGCACCGGCGCCATGCAGCCTATACGTGCTGACGACACTGAGGCACCATCAGCAGGCACTGAGGCAAATGCGTCGCGGAGCGCGGCTGGCCAGCAAATCAGGGCTGAGGTTAAACCATAGAAACATGGGTGACTTGAACAAGGCTTGCCGAGGGCCCGCTCCCATCACAAAGCCGGCTGATTCCAGGCCGAGCAGCTCGGACAGTGGCTTTTTCACCGGAATAGCATGTGTGTTTTGATGTCCAGGTGGAGCTCCACGGCAACCTGCTCGAGAGTCACCAAGCTGCAGCTTCACGTCGGAGTCGCAAACTTCCAGAATTGGTAATCACCTGAGGAGCAAAGCCACGGTGGCACACGTGCAGGTTACACAGCCGACAGACTTGTTGGCTCCTTGCGAGACAATGACTGCAACCACCGCAACGGCGATGACGGCGACGACAGCTTCTCTGCCGAGCCGTAGCGAGCATCTGCCCGCATCCATGACTCAGGCATTGGAAACCCTGCAGCCAGAAGTGCCAGATGTGCAGCCACAAGCGCAAGCAGACACGGCACCGACGGCACCGATTTTTCGGGAAGCGCGTGTGGGCTCGGGTCCCCAGCCGTCACGGCCGCAGCCGACACGAAGCCAAGCACCGCCAGGGAACTCTGCAGACACAGCCACAGCCCCCCGTTATGAAGTGCAGCCGACAGCGAAAGCCAAGGACTCCGCAATTGAAGAGTCCTGAAGTGTGCCCTCGGCTTTCATGCGATGTAGTCATCCGCCTCAGCAGAGGAGCTATCAACAGTCTCGGGGCCAAAGGCCGCCCCGAGGGCACCACCGTCGCCATCGCCCACATCGGAGCAAACAGGAGCCGTAGGCCACGCCAGTTGACTCTGCCTGCGCAGCGTATCGCAGCCCAAGTCAATTCAAACACAAAGTCATTGCCGTGACCAGGCACCAAGAGCCTCAGCTGCCCCAGCTCGGAGTCCGAGCATGCTACGCTCAAACAGGAGCCCCTTTGCTTCCGCGCGGATGGCTGATCTCGCTTGCATCGCTGGTAACGCAGCCTTTTCAGGCGGACGGAGAGACTCAGAGTACTGGACGTGAGACGCCGCGGCCTGAAGGGTCGGAAGAGTGACAGAGACAGAAGGCCACGATTTCACTGTGGAGCTGCATGGTGGCATGGTGCACAAAGGTTTGACTCTCCCCGGGACGCTTGCTACAGAAGCTGCAAGGCATGGCCGGCGGTGCGAGTACTCTTGCTGCTTCTGCTGATGCAACGGATGCTACGCCTCCAATTGAAGCAATCGGCTGCTCCACTTGCCCCCCCTGCTAGTCGACGCTCCGATGCATTGGCCCCTCATGTCTCAAATCGCCCCTCTTTGTGCAGGCGGCCCCGGCCGAGCCGCTCCTGGCGCGTTTGGCCTTCCTCGAGGTCAGGAGCTAGGACGTACGAAAGCCACAGAGGTTAAGAAGTGTTGACGGCGAGGCTGCAACATCTCGTGACCCCTAAGCTTTTGTGGAGAAGTTTCGTTTTGCACCTGGCACCAGGCACAGGCCTCAGATCGCCGCTCAGACAGCACGTAACAACGTACCACTCGCCCGAGTTCCGAGCACAGACAGGCTCAGGCTGGCAGAGGTTCTCTTCATGTTGCATCTGACACGTATGCGCCGGTGCACATCACTCAGGTTCCAACTTGCTGGCGCATCTTCAGCTGCAACTAATGGTATGCCATTTCAAGAGTTCTAGGAGTCTGTCTGTTTCTGTGTATTCTCGTCTCTTGAAGTGCGTTGTTCTCCAACAGAGGCACATACAACGGCAGCAAGAGCAGCTGAACCGCTTGGAGGTGCGCCACAAAGTCGGACCGTCGGTCAGCAGCGTCATCAGCTCTTCCAGGCCCTTGTCGAGGAGAACTCAGAGCTCCGTGCCAAGCTGCATCCGAAGCGCCCCAAGGCCCGAGGAAAGTTCCAAAAAGGTTTAGAAGCACGAGGCAGACAGGGAGACCTAGTAAAATAGTCCCGGCAAATGTGTACATTGACGATAGCACAGCGCAGGATTTCGTTTTGGCACAACTTGAGGCCATTCCTTCAGACAGAGCCGTCGCTTGAATCAGGTGGGCAGGCTTACCGAAGCCGGCAACGAAACTCAAGGGTGGGATGTCGTGGGGGGTGGATCCGAACCAACACCAATCGGCTTGACGTCCTTAAGGTTATGCGGTCTGACACGAACGGAAGCTGCAAAGTATCGAATGCTCCGTGAGGTGGTCGATGCAACGAGGAGAGATCCGCGCCTTGCAGAAGGACTGATGGAGTGACGTGATTGTCTTTTTTTTTGACAGCAGAGATGCGAGAAGCCAGGGGTAGGCAGCTATGGGCTCTGTGTATGCATCGAGGTTCGACGTGCAGGCATCATTCAGCGAATACACTCTAAGTTGAAGAGCACTGCTGCAAATCAATCTGGAGAGGGCCCGCGGCAGTGACTACCACCACGCCGGCTCTCCGAGACTCACCGCCACCAACAATGCCAAGGCACAGTTGTAATCTCGCAGAGCCTTCCTGTCTCTGGGCACGCCCCTAACAAGGCGATTCCGCACAGCACCGGGGGAGGCGAGCCATCCGCTTTGGTTAGTTTCGAAGGTCAAGATAAGAAGGCCTTGGTTGTGAACCAATGGGATTCTCGGTGCACCCTGAGGTGAGAACCCAGGCAGACGCTCCCATCGTGGTGTGCTCGGACGAACACTTCATGCCGGTGTGTCGACGTCAGACTCTGAGTATGAGAGACTCTCAGGTCTTGACTGCCCGGACCACACCGCGGAGTCCAGGCGCACGTACTGGTCCCTCGGAGGCTCTGCAGGGCACTCCTCCGTCATCGTAAACAGAGTATCCATGCCAAGAATAGACGTGCAAGCTGTGCGAGATAGTGAGTGCCTGAAGACATACTCGGGATGACAAGTCAAGGGCTCTCAAGGCTGATACTGAAAGCTTTGACGACACATCGGCTTCGATGTGCATGCACGGCTTCGCGTTCCTGTGAGCTGTGCGTAGTTTTCAAGTCACTGTCGTTGCAGGCCAAGGTCGCCATGGTCGAGCAGACCTTGGCAGATCCTTGGAAAGCAGATCAGTGGAAGCATGTTGGAAGCATCTGAAAGCCCGTGCAGGCAGGTGGTTGCAGAGGTTGGTGCTGTTCGTAAGGAGCTGGAGCGGGCCCTTGGCCTGGCCGAGCAGCGAACGCCTCGGACAGCGCCAAGCGCCGCTTCTTTCACGCCCTCCCGCTTGCGCTGGCTTTGTGGGAGCTTTTTTTCCTAGGAAGAAGCACCTCATCGTCGAGAAGTAAGAGTCAGGAGGCCGGTCATTGCGAGCTGCAGCGCTTCCCCTGTCAGAGTCCGTCCAAGTTCCATGCAGACTGAGCGACGATGGGTCGCGAAAACCCGAGACAGGACAACCATGACAGACAAGCACGGCCACGAAGATACGAGGAACTACGAAGCATCGAATCACACAGCACCGATGCTGATTTTTGCAGGTGTTCGTTGGAAGAACTGAGAGGCCCAGCTTCACGTAGCCAGACACGTTTCACCTTCAGTAGGTACCAGGAATCCCAAAGTCTGGACTCGGGGTATTCACGAGCGCTTTCTGAATATGTTGCCGTTGTATCGATTCAGCGGTAATGAAGCACTGTAGACGAACCTTTTTTTCACAAGTTCTCGTACTGACTCAGAAACTCTATCCATGTAGTTGTGTACATCAGGGTTATGCACAAGAATTGCACCACTGAGCCTGCGCAAAAGCCCCGTACACTGTAAGACACAATTTGCTCATGGCCCGAACTTGAGTAGCTGTTGTCTTTTCTATCTGGCACCCGCACCCGGCTGCCCAGTGAGACTTCCAGCGCATAGTAGCATACCCTTGGCAAGTTGAGCACAGCTAATGCTTGGATGCAGCAGAGCAGCTCGCACTGGAGAGCCCCGGTCAATACTATGATTTATAGAGTCGTACTTCTAGCAACTTTTCAAGTGACGAGCTGCCCTGTTGCCCTACACCTCTGTTGGAATACCAACAGCTTCAGTTCGGCATTCACGAGCGTGCATCTGCTATGCATATAAGCGCACATTCCAGGTACAATCTATCACTCTGCAACGCAGTAGCAGGCCGTGCCTGACACTGTCGAGCGGATGCAGCTCAGACGTGCAGCTAGCTGTCGGCCCCACGGAAGAGAAGAATCAAGTTTTGCGCTTGGCTAGACGCGTGCAGCTCATGTCCGAAGGAGTAGGAGAGTACTGAAGTGCTCGACAGTCGCGATTTTTGCGCACATGGCAGATGCATGACGCAGCTGTGCAGGGGTCTTTGACATCCTGTAGCCCCTGGAGCAGCAACAACTCAGCACCAGCACAGATGGTAGCCGGGTAGCCCCTCCAGCCCCCAGTGTATTGCAGGACGCTGCCCAGCATCAGAAGCTTGTCGACTTCCCCCCCAGCTAAGATGAGAGGCAACTGAGTTGTGACATTCAGGGCAGCTGACGTCGGTAGCTCGCAAAGCAAATTCTCTCCATCGGATATGGCACCCGGATGGCCATGAGCCTGCCAATGACTGCAGGTCGGTGCTCTTTGCATCACTCTTTGCTCTCAAACTCGGGGAACTTGAGGTACATTGAATCGATGGAGTCCTGCTCCGATCATACAGGCCAGATTCGCCCCTTCGGCACGTTCCGGATCAATGAACAAACTTCCATCATCTTCGGGATCATTGGTGCATACTCTCGAACTTCAAGTGTGCAAGGGCAGAGGGAACCTGCACGCACTTTCACTCCTCGCACACAGACGACCGCAAAGCCTGCTGGTGGAGAGCTGTCCTCGCTTCTCACCGAGGCTCCGACGCTGTCAGTGCTGTGAAGCGCTTTTCCATGCTAGCTAGATCGTCCCAACCTCCTTGCATGTAGGGGGATGCCAACCTGCACGCGCGCTGCGCAAGGACGCGTAGGGCAAAAGGTCTTTGTGCCAACGATCGGCAACGCAAGTCACGAAAGCTCGCGGAGTGGGGCTCGATTTAAGTCTGCTTTGCACTGGGGCAGACGAGGGCCAAAAAGCAGCGTATTCCGTGAGGGTATCGATAGGGGGAGGGGTGAGTAGATTGATATGTCAGGAGCCGAGTTTTGTAGCAGAAGCTGAATCAATAGCTGTCGAACTCATCAGCGCCCTCCTCCGTAGCTGCTTGTGCAATATCTCCGATATCCGGATGCGCTCCTTATCGCAGGTGAGCGACATGGAGTGGTCACATGACATGATCAGTGGCATGTGAGCAATCGGACAGACTACAGTAAGTCAGAAATCGTGAAGTAATGTCATGCGTCACACTTCAGCGGCATTGTCCAGATCACCTTATGTACATCTCTCCTAGTAGACCACAGCCATTCGAACTACATCTGGTGTAAGCTGAATAGCTTTACGGCCTAAGGCTAGGTTTTGCAACATATTGCTTGACACTTGCTCTTCGTTGTGGGTGGGATTGGGACATGAAGCCTGCTGAGATGTAGGACAGTGTAGGAGTTGCTGCCTCTGAATTGGAGTGGGTCTGTGACATGAAGCCTGCTAGGATGCAGGATTTGTTGCTTCTGAATTGTGGGCGGGTTTGTGAAACCTGCAGAAAAAGCCCTCGGAGCTTTCGTCGTCCAAATCCTGCCTCTCGAGTAAATCTTGTGCTGCAGACTTTGCACAAGGAATCTCCTCCCCAAGTGATTCAGCAGTTGCTTCCGCAGTAGGCGCAGGCGAGAGATGAACACACATGGTGTGTCCTGGCCTTGCCTCAGTCTCAGTGAAGGTGGCGCGGAACCGTGCCGAAGCTGCCGAGCTGCGGTTGCGTCTCATGCACCAGGCGCACTGCACCAGAGGGGATCTGTCCTAGCTTGGCCATAACATGCCGCCGAACCGCCGTTCTCACGGGATGTGTGCTGACTGCAGCTTCATGCAGCTTGTGTCATGCGTGCTGCGGTGCAGGGTAGGAATGTCCTGCTGGCAGGGAGCGACTCCAGCGGTGCAGGCGCAAGCTGTCAAGGCCGGGTCTGCATGGGCCTTGCTTCTCTTGCTTCTAGGTTAACCGGCGCAGCCTTTCGAGGTGCAAGATGCCCCGCAGCAACAGCAACGCCTCATCAGCTGGCAACCTCCGGTTCAGGCGCTGACATGGAGGGGGAGAGCATACTGCTTTATGGACCAACAGGAACTGGGCAACCAGTCGTGATTTCCAAGAGTAGAGGAAACGAAATCCGGCAGCTTCTCGTGGTGTCGCAGGCCGCCTCCGTGCACGAGGCTGTGGTCACAGATGCCGCCAAGGAAGTGCCTCGGATCTCTGAGACTGCTTAATCACCCATGGCAATCCCCACAAGGTTGGATGTTCCAGTTCAACTTCGAAGTCCGGTACAATCTAGACAGCCAGCCACATTGTAAGCTCCCCTTTCCGGTCAAATGAAGGTTGAGACATGGTATCTCTACCTTTGTTTACCGTCCAGGTGCGGGCTCGTTTGGCCCGCCTCCGCAACGAGATCGAGATCGCCCAAGAAGATGAAAAGGCTGACCCATTGCTGGATGTTCACGTGCACCGAGGGGTTGCGAACAGACTCATGGCGACGGACTCTGCCAGGTGCCCCAGCAGCGTGCAGCGGGCACGGTTGACAAGCGGCCGAGGCGACATAAGTTTTTGCCTTCGAGCTGGGTGCTAAGTAGAGATGAAACAGCAGCGTTCTGCGGGTCTGTGAGGCCGAAAGTCGGCACAAAGTCTCCTATCCAGAGGCCATTCGTCACTTGCTGGGCGCTTGCAGAAATTTGCCCTGAGGATGGATTCATGTCCAGGCGACTACCGTTCTGGCTACGGTAAATCTCCTTCAATTCTCCCTTCGCCATTTCTTTTGCTTTGCCCGAAACGAATTCGTGGCTGAGCAGGCGGACTAGGCCCTCTGCAGAGGCACCCGAGTCCGAGTGCCTTTGTCCGCAGCATGAGAGGAGTCAGAGTCGGGCGGCAACAGAAGGGGTGCCGTAAGTCGAATTCCCAAGACGGGTTCGTGTGACTTCCAAGAGGGGCCAGGACGTGAAAAGTCAGCTCCAAAGCAGGATCCTTCTCTTGGGCTTTCATTCCGGTGACATAGCCGAAGTGGTGCCATGCCAAGAACACCCCAGAATTGGCATGCAAAAACTTTCAAAAACTGCTGACAAATGTCGAGTGAAGCAGGAGATGATTTTTT